AGGGTGCTTGCCCTGGGGTTCTTGTCGTGGCTTGTCCCGGCAGGCTTGGGGGTGGCACCAGTGCTGGAGAGGGTTCTCGCTTTGGGGGTGCTGGAGTGGAGTGTTCCGGAGGTAGCCGCGGTGCAGCTGGCGGTCCAGGTGTCGGCGTCGAGCAGCATCAGCAGCACTCGCCGCCGGTTTCCGCCCTTCGCCTGCTCCGCCTTCCCTCCCCTGACCGCTCGCACGCACCTCCCCTGCCCCCTCCTCCTCTTCGTGTCCACGATCCTGTGTTTCCTCCGCCGGACTCGTCCCCGGCCCATTTCCCACCTTGCTCCCCTCTTATTTCTCCTCCTCTGTCTCGACCTGACGTCTCTGTCTCACGTCTGGTCTCGCCGTCCCTCTCGTGCTCGCCCTATCTCTCCTGTTCAGCGTTCGCACCCCATGTTACTTCGTTCCCATGCATCTCATCCTCCACTCCTGCCTTCGCCTCCTCCGTCGCCGCTCACTGTCGCGCCTCCCCCTCTGTCTGACTATCTTTGTGCTGCTCGTCCTCTTGTTCCTCGGATCCTTGCCTCTCTCTTTACCGACCCGTTTGTTCCTCTCTCGAGTCCTGACGCTCTTGTCACTACTGTCGCTGACTTCGCCTCTACCCGCCACCTTGACTACGCCAGTGCTCTAGTCTGTGACCCTGCCAGTCCTCCGTCCGTCCGGGGTGCTCTTGCCCTTGGCAATGACGTCCTAGAGGAAAGGCAGTACGAGCTTGCTTTCCTGTCCAAGGCTTCTCCCCATCTCTGCTCCATGCTGCTAGTCCCTGAGGGTGACCCAGACGCCCTTGACATCCCGACCCCTCGCACCTACGCTGAGGCCACCTCGGGACCTTGGCCCTCTCAGTGGATAGCTGCCATGGAGCAGGAGATGGCATCTTGGAGGTCCACCGGCACGTAGGTCAACGCTGTTCCCCCACCTGGGGTGAACGTAATCGATGGCCGGTGGCTCTTCACGGTGAAGCTCCCCCCTAGAGAGCCGCCCGTGTTCAAGGCGCGCTACATGGCGAGAGGCTTCAGTCAGCGAGAGGGGGTGGACTTCTTTCGGACCTCCGCCCCGACCCCGAAGATGACTACTCTTCAGGCGCTGCTACACGTAGCAGCACAGCGTGACTACAAGCTTCACTCCCTCGACTTCTCCACTGCTTTTCTTCAGGGCAGCCTACATGAGCAGGTCTACGTGCGCCGTCCTCAGGGCTTCACCAGTTCCTTCCATCCTGGGACCTAGTGGCTCCTCTGGCGCCCGATCTACGGCCTGCAAAAGGCGCCCCGTAAGTGGCACGACACGCTGCGTGCTACGCTAGCTGACCTGCATTTCTTCCCATCCGCTGCAGACCCTTCGCTCTTCGTTCGTGCTGGCCAGACTCCGTTCTAAATTCTTGTCTAGAATGACCTGGACTTCGCTACTGCAGACAGAGACGCACTGGCCTCCGTGAAGGCTGAGTTGCTGAGAAGGAAGGGTTGCACTGCTATCTTCGCCTGCATATCTCGAGGGACAGAGCAACGCGCACCATCTCTCTTACACAGTCACACTTGGTGCGCCAGGTCCTTCAGAGGTTCGGTCTACACAGCCCACACCTCTGCCAGTAGACCACAAGCTCTCAGCTCCAGTTCCCGAGGATTCAGCAGAGCCCAGTGGTCCTTACGCAGAGCTGGTGGGTTGCCTCATGTACCTGATGACTTTGCACTCGTCTAGATCTCGCATACCCTCTCATTATCCTAGCTCGCTTTGTGGCCACAGGCAGACACCGACCACAGCACTGGTCTGCCGCTAAGAGGGTTTTGCGTTATCTTGCAAGTACATCGGGCATGGGGTTAGTGCTGGGAGGACGCAGGCCAGTGGTCCTTACTCGGCACACAGACGCTTCTTGGGCAGACAACGCTGAGACCCCCAGGTCCTCCGAGGGCTACTGCTTTAGCCTTCGTTCTGGTGCCATCTCGTCGCGGTCCACTCGCTCCTCGTCTGTTGCCCAGTCTAGCTTTGAGGCTGAAACCTACGCTGGTGCCATGGCGGCATAGGAGCTCCGCTGGCTGACCTTCTTGCTCGCTGACTTAGGTGAGCGGTCTAACTCTGCCCCAGTCCTGTACGCTGACAAGAGGGCCATGATCCTCCGGTGTCAGGAGCCTCGACTTGAGGGCAGAGCAAAGCACATCCTGTTGCGGTACTTCCTCCTGCGCGAGCTACACTTGGCCCTCCTCCTCCTCTTGCGCCTCTTGCGCCTTAAGATCATCAGCGGCACTGCTTGCGGCTAGGTCCAGTTCCTGTAGACTCTTACTTGCTATGACCTTGATTGTGTACTCAGGCTGGCCTTGTGGCTACTCTTCCAGTGGTCGGACTAGCAGTACCGCCCTGGTTTGCTCCTGTCTTGTTTGTACCCTTAGTAACTGGTCTTTGGACCCTTGCCTCAGAGGTTGGACTAGTAGTGCCGCCCTGAGCTGTGTATTTCTTGCTCTGCACTACCCTTTATCTAGCCTAGGGGGTGTGTCAACTTATACATATGTTGCTGTGTAGAAGTTACAGGCTAGATAGTTGTATGCTATTAGATGGTACAACCAGAACACATGTACCCCCCTTGTTTACTTGTATTCTATCAAATTATTCTAGCTGACACTACGCTGTCTTTCTCCTAGTCCAGTCGTGACGATCCTACTGGACCTTAGTTACCGTATCATGGTAAAGATGTACCGTTCCTCGTGCGTAATTGTGTTTCGCATGTACCATTACCCTGTGCGTAATTGTGTTTTCGTGTTACATCAGGATGTTACCATTGAACCTTGTGGCTTGTTATGAATTATAACTCAGAGTATAGTGCAGAATACTGAAGGGGAACATGATTACTGAGTGTCGATAGAAATGCGGCCTAGGCAATATATAGGATGATTGACCAGGGTTGAATATCGAGGCTTGGACCAGTCAAGGGCTCGATAGTCCCGAGGGTGACGGGGTCAAAATGGGTTCGGAGCGACTCGGGATGAGGCTGGGGCCGACGAAGTCGACGGGGGCTGGTTTGGCACGTGAATTGAGGTCTGAGCCTGCGGAAGCGAACTGTTCGCGTGTACTCGCTGTGGCGAGCCCCAGTAAGGAGTCGTAATTCCTTAGATGGGTTGTGGGTGGAAACTATTGAAATCATTGCGGTTATTGTTGTGGTTCCTGGTTTAGAGTAGTGTGGCGTTATTGAGGAAGGAATGAAAGGCGACGATATCGTGGCGGGTGCAAAATGCTCATGCTTTTGCCACCCCATGGCTTCTGCAGAACCGCGAGGTAAACGTCGTGGTGGAAAAGGTTTCAATGCGGCAATGTGGGTTACCATGATTGACACTCAACCCCAAATCTGTCATCGTCGGCACTCGCACGCGCAACTTCAACCTTCCGAAGCCATGCCCGACAAATCTTTGCCTTCCGATGGGCAATTTTGCTTGTCCACTTCCTCTGTCCAGGTTTGGTGGGTGACGGAAGGATTATCTCTGTCAAAACGTACAAATGCACCACTGAAAGATTCCTTGATTGTGGACGGAATATGCCGTCAAGTGCCTTGCTGACACGTATTCAATCCTCGAATCATCGCTCGTAATATCGTCCAGCTCATATCTGCTTGAAAGCAGCACACCCGAGGGCTGGAGTCGCGGACTCGGCGCAGCTCTTCTCCCACCACCACCAGTAGTCCCTGACCTGAGTCACGTCTCACCAGCAAACCCATTCTCAACCAGGCCTCTCCTTCAGGGTATAGTTTCGTCCTTTTCATAGTTTCGGAGAGCCTTATGATCCCTACCCTGATAGGAACGGCCGGGACAAATGTGGAGCAGCAACAGCCTTGAGGTTAAATTCCCGGGCTTCTGTCGTCACTTACCCGGACCATTATTCTATGTACAGACAGAGACGACCAGAAATCTTCCCAACAGCCAGAGACGTTCATCACATACCTCTCAACCTGGATATCTCGGCGAAGTCTCCAACCCGAGACAATCCTTCAGCACCCCTCACAACCCTGAAAAATCGGAGAAGTTCCCCCCACCAGAGGTGTTCCTCCCACAGCCCTCGTAATCCCGAAAAGTTCGGCAAGTCTACCACGGCCAGACACAAGTACTTCCCACACCCTCCCCACACCCCTGACTTTGACCCGAGTCCTTGACACCAGTACAGAACAGAGTTCGAGAAGAAAAAAGCTGCAACCAGGCTCCTCAACATGGCAGCCCTTCTCCCAGCAAAACTCTGATGCGCTCCCCATTCTGTGAAAAGCCAAACATCATGCCTGCAGTCTCCAGGTCATCTCTCGCCACGCGGCGCGAATGCGAAAGCTGCAGCGCTGGCTGGTTTGCCATAAGCGCGTCTCGTCTCGTTTCATTGAAATTCCTCCCCGAACCCCTGTCCGCTCATCAAAGAGCCAACCTTCCGTCATGCACTATCTCAAAGCGGCCAATCCGCACTTGCACACCCACCCATCCGCAACCCGGCTCGTCGGGAAGGGGCCCACTGACTGGTCGACATGGCACGGGCCACACGAAAATTGCGGAGAAGTCGAGGCTGTCGTACTTTCGCCGCCATTCCTCTGCTCCGCTTTCACTGCAGCCTTCTCTGGTTGGACCGTCCATCATCTACTCATCTCATTTTCTCCGACCTTCGCCACCGCCGCCTCAATCTGGGAGCAATTTTCCGCTGTGATCATGCTCTCTCCGCAGCTCTCTCCGCAGCTGCTGCTATTTTCCGGCCAACCGCAACCCAGCACACAATGGAGTCAGTTGCTCCGCCTCCCTTCTCATCCCCCCGTCCTCTCCTCCTCGAGCAGCCACACTCAGCCCGCCCCGTCACCACCTCAGCCTTCCCCGCTCCCTGCCCCCCCCACCCTTGGCTTACTTTTGACTGGTTGCTGCTCCCTCACGCACCCTTTCAGCCACCACGTTTGCTTTCCGCTTTCTCGGTTTCTTCCCGACCTTCACTGGACAACAAGCGCTCACTGCAGCACTACACCAAGCATTTTCATTGCCAGTCCACCCCAATCTAGCCGCAAACATTAACCGCTGTCCTCCAGTCCACTCCACACGACGCGCAAGACCTTCCTTGGCTAAACTCGTCATCCCAACGAGCCTTGATTGAGCTGGGCGCACAATCCCGTAGTCCTTGCGCTTTCACTTGTCAGCCGCTCCCGTACATAAATGTACGCGTAACTCTACTAGAATGCGCGGTCCTCAGACTTCTCGGCGAAAACCAGCGAGTGAGAGATTTTAAGATCCAAGATCTCTGTAGACCCGCGAAGCAGCAGCCTGCTCGAGAGATCGGGCCGATGCCGTTCACGATATTCGCGCGCCAGAAGCCGCGGAGCAGAAAACCGCAACCCGCCGCATTGCCGCCAGAAGTCTCTCCCGTTCCCGCTCGCTCCCAGCCCGTTACTTGCTCGCGCCCAACTGTCCCCTCAACGAACCAGTCGTCTAAAGTCCCGCTCGTGCTTCGTGATCTCGCCACCTCCGCTTCGTCCGCTTCGACCGCTTCGTCTTCCTCTTTCCCTTCCGCCTCGTCCTCCCTCTCCTCCCCCTCCCTCGTGTCGTCCTCCTCTCGCGCCACCTCGATTTCGTCCTCGCCCTCGTTGACATCGAGGTCGCCATTGTCTCTCACCTCGCCTCCCCTCACCGCGTCGCACTCGGCTTCTCATGCCACACCGCACGCGGCGTCTCTCCCAGAATCCACGTCACCCTCCACGTCACCATCCAAGTCATCTTCAGCGTCGCAGACAGCGCAGCTCCCTGAGCTCGAGTCCCGCTCCTCGGCTTCGTCAACGACGCCGTTAATCTCTCTCTCCGAGGCGCGCATTTCGCCGCGCGAAGACCCTGTCGGGATGTGCGCGGGGGAACGCGCTGAGCGCAGCAGCTCCGCTAGCAGAGCGCTTGACGGAGAACTTGACGGAGAACGTGACGGAGTCTTTGCCAGCAACAGTTGCGGCAGAGGTGATGCGTCGACGGCGACTGATTCCGTGTGCGACAATGTGCGCTCGACCGACGGAAACCAACCGGCGGAAGACGAAAACCTCCAAGAGACGGTGTCACGAAGGATAAGCATCAGCAAAATCGGCCGCCGCCACAGCAGCGGCAGTAGCGCGCCGGGAAGCAGCGGTTTGAGAAGCAACGGCTTCGTTAGAAGCAGCAGCGTTTCGAGCACCGCGTCGAGCGAGAGCAGCAGTGACAATGGCGACAGCAGCAGTAGCAGCACCAGCGGCAGCAGTGACCGCGGCAGCGGCGGCAAGAGTCTCTTCCGCCTACCAGCATCTCGGGTACGTCCGTCGACCAGCGGCAATCTCACGGACAATGACTGTTGAGGTGCCTCTCCAGCCCAGTATTCCCACTTTTGACTACCTCTCTCGAGTCTGTTGGCCTCGAAATCGTTCTGACGCGCCTCCAATGCCCTGGAAATCCGGGATCGCTTCTCGTGAAACTAATTCCTTCCTTCCTTGCTCCCGCCCTTCCCCTGTCTCCCCCAACCCTTTCGCTCTCCCTCCTCTCCATTGCCCGCCTGCTCCCCCCGTCCCCCAATGGCAGTGGCCCGCCGTGAGCCCCGCGTCTCTCTTCCTCCGCCTCGCGCAAACCCGCTTCATCTCCGCAGGCCTGCGCCCCCTTCGCATCGATCTCGACGCGTCCACCTACATCCGCTGCTGGCTCCCAGCGCCCGCCGCCGCCGCCGCCGCTACCGCCGCCGCCGCCTCGCGCAGGCACGCGCAGCAGCAGGCGCGGTGGGAGCGCAACCCGCCGCTGCTGCTTCTGCACGGGTTCGGGGGGCCGGGTCACCTGCCCGTGACTAGTAGCGGGGATGGTGCGCACCCCCATGATGGTTCGGAGGAGGGGAGATGTGGTTCGGATGCCGAGGCTGGGTCTGGTGGAGGTTCGGTGGGGGATGCTGCTACAGTGCACTGGCACCAGCTGGTTGGGAGCTTAGCTCGGGATTTCGAGCTGTATGTGCCGAACCTGGTGTGGTTCGGGGAGTCTGGTGTGGAGGGCTGTGGGGAGTGGGGAGGCACGGGGGGGGAGGGAGTGGGTGGGCGGGAGGAGGGGATGGTGGAGGAAGGGGATCAAGGAGAGGAGGTAAAGGGGGAGACTGAGGAGGAGGAGAGGGAAGGAAAGGAGGAGAACGAGGAGGAGGAGGTGGAAAGGGAGAGCAGGAGGGATGCGAGCTCGAAGTACTCGATACAGTTCCAAGCTGACTGCATGATGCGACTCACAAGAATACTCGGGCTGACAAGGTACACTCCCTGTCAAGACTGCTGCTCCTTGTTGCAGCCGGCTGCTGTACTTGTTGTCATGGTTTGCTCTACCCTTGCAGTGCATGGCTCGTTGCTAGCTTGTGACTAATTTTCTCTCTCCCGCTCTCGTGTGATTCCCTCCTGTGGTCGACGTCCCGACTGTGTCCAGGTTCGATGTATTGGGGTTTGGTTATGGGGCCAGCATCGCATACCGCATGGCGGCACAGCACCCAGGGATCATCCGCAGAGTGATTCTGACGTCACCCATGACAATGATGACTCAGCAAGACCTGGAAGCAACACTGCAGCCTCATTGCACCAACTCGAAGCATCCCAGAAGAAGCAGCAGCAGCATTGATGGCCACAGCAGCATCAACAGCAGCAGCATCAGCAGGAGGAGGAAGAGCTGTGATGGTGTGATGAAACACACCGTACGCAGTGATGGTGCTGCTAGCACCGCTGCCGCTGCTGCTGCCTCTGCCGCTGTCACCACTGCTGCTGCTTCCGCTGCTGCTGCTGTTCAATCAGCACCCTCGTCCCCCCGGCTACCGTCAACAGTGGCTGAGCTGCGCAGGGCGCAGCATGCAGCATTTGAAGGGGCCTTCTGGGCGCCGGCGTTTGTGTACAGGGACCTGCTCAAGGTGCTGTTCTCCGGCAACCGCAGCCAGCAGCAGCGGTGCCTGGATGAGTTTATCAGTGACCGGCCGCAGGATCGGACACTGAATCCTGTGCTTAAGCAGGTATGCTGCCATGCTGCTTCTGCTGCTGCTGCTGCTGCTGCTGCTGCTGCTGCTGCTGCTGGTGATTGTCAGTGCTGCTGTGGTGCTGTTGCTTCACCTGAAGTGCTTCGTCTTGTTGTTTTGTCGGTTAACAGTAAGGCGTGCCTCATTCCTTTTCAGGAGTAATTTCTGATGTTTTGCTTCCCCTGTTTTACTATCTGTGCCTTTGTGGCCCTCTACAGGAGGTTCTCATTGTCTGTGGAAGAAAGGATCCAATCGCCCCGCTGCCATTTGGAAAGATGCTCTTGCAGTAAGCCTTACATCCCTCTCAACACCCTGTCATCCATCTAATGCCAGATGCCCAGCATTCTATGACTCCTTCACTCCAGCTTGGCTCTCTTGCCATAAGTTTCCCTTGCTTGCTCGTGCGTTCACTATCCAAGTTCATTGCCCCTATCCTGTGCTGAGTCTCAACCTCTGCATTTCTCTACCCCTCTCGCCCTTTACCCTCTCAGGCACCTGGGCGGCAGCTCACGGCTGGTGCTGGTGAACGACGCACGGCACATGCCACACTCGCAGTGCCCCAAGGAATTCTCCTCCCTCGTCCGCTACTTCCTGCATGCCCCCCATGGCTGCGAGCATGTGGGGGCCGTCGCCGTGTGTGCTACAGCACGCCATGGCAAGCTAGCGCTGCTGCTACCTAAACCGAGGAACTTTGTGTCCGCTCCCCCATCGCCTGGTTCTTTGGCCTGGGGAGGCAGGAAGTGGTAGTCATGGTGATGACTCTCTGACACAGGAACCAAAACAGGGGCCAAACGGGTGGAGCTTGTACCAGCATCAGAGCAAGTGTTCCTGGTTTTGAGCAACTAACAATGGCCACATTGGTCTTGATTCGATTCGATGGTGTCAGCCAATGTTGGTGTTGGGCTGAGAAAAGCCCTTAGGATCTTTTGCAGAGACTAAGTCCCAGCTGTAAAGACTTGAGACTTGGAGTAGTGCAGCGGAAGTTGAGACGGTTGAACCCTTGTACTCGTATGTGAGAACAAGTGATTGATTAAAGAAACAAGCATACAGCAATATATAGAAGATAAGAAAGCAGTTGTAGAATACAGTTACAGGAGCGGTTTATCGAGTCGCACAGCGACTCGATTGCCGCTTCGGTTACCATCTGTGATGTTGTAACGGTCAGTCGCAACCTCCAGTTGCGACCTTTCGAGTCCTTTCGCTTTCTTTGTCCGCCCCCTCGTGTAACCTCCGTTGACTCGCGTGCTCCCCTGTAATCTTCCTCGAGTACAGTGTTACACTTCAGAAACGCTTAAGTCCTTGAGATATTTCCAACAGTTGGCATCTTATACAAAGTGCATATTCTTGCCTACTGTGTAATGCGAAAAAATGTGTTGTGGACGTTTTGCTGTGCCAATGTATCAATCGATATGCAGAAAGGCAAACTTGACACAATGGCGTTTTGTTGTTGGTTTCTCAATCTGAGAAATCCATAATGAGTAGGCGTTTATGCTCGCTCAGAAGCCGCTTTAGAGTTCAATGTGAATCTGTACTTTTGCGTTCTGCTGCTTCGTTTAGCCTCAATTTGTCTTTACAAGGATGGTAATATGGGCTCATGCTTCTATCATAATTGTGTATTTGTCATCAACTCATAGTCGTGAGATATACCGTAGGTGTGGAGTGATGTGGAGTGTATCGCCAACATTATTGACATCCTTTATCTTCTGGGATGTCCCAGATGTTGGCTGAACCCCAACATCGCGGCGCGTGGCGTTCCTTGGGGTTGCATGAGGCCACGCACGCCTAGGGAAAGCAGCCACTTTCCTCACGGACTACATCTTCCCTGCTAAACTGAGGGGTGATACACGAATACTGGTGATTCCTGAACTCAGGTCATTCCTGATTCCTGAACCTGCCTGCACGTAGTCCGACCAGCTTTTACGCCATGGCGACGTACACCCCGAAGGCCATTCTTATCACTGGAGCTGCTGGCTTCATTGCTTCGCATGTTGCTAACAGAATTGTTCATTTCTATCCCCAGTACAAAGTCGTCGTGCTCGATAAGCTGGACTACTGCTCAAGCTTGAGGAACCTGGAACCATGCAAGTCATCACCGAACTTCAAGTTTGTCAAGGGAGACATTGCGAGTGCGGATCTCGTGAATTACCTTCTCCTGACGGAAGGCATCGATACCATCATGCACTTTGCTGCTCAGACGCACGTCGACAACTCGTTCGGCAACAGCTTTGAGTTCACCAAGAACAACATCTACGGAACGCACGTCCTGCTCGAGGCCTGCAAGGTTGCTGGAACGATCAAACGTTTCATCCACGTCAGCACCGACGAGGTGTATGGAGAGACAAGCCTGGACTCACTTGTGGGTAACCATGAGGGTTCCCAACTGCTTCCAACAAATCCGTACTCGGCAACAAAGGCTGGAGCGGAAATGCTTGTGATGGCCTACGGTCAGTCATACAATATTCCCTGCATCACCACCCGGGGGAATAACGTCTACGGGCCAAACCAGTTCCCCGAGAAGCTCATCCCGAAGTTCCTTCTCCTCGCCATGCAAGGGAAACCCTTGCCAATTCATGGTGACGGCTCCAACGTCAGAAGCTATTTGTATTGTGAGGACGTTGCTGAGGCATTCGACGTGGTCCTTCACAAGGTAAGTGATGATAAACGTTCAGCTCTGTTGATTGCTTGATCCGTGTTTTGCTTTTAATGTGGTGTACTAATCTGCTGTAACATTCTTGTAGGGTACTGTTGGCGAAGTGTACAACATTGGAACGCGCAAGGAAAGGCGTGTCATCGACGTTGCTCGAGACATTTGCCGGATGGTTGGCCTTGACCCAGAGCAGGTCATCAAGTTTGTCGAGAATCGGCCATTCAACGACCAAAGATACTACTTGAATGATCAGAAGCTCAAGTCTCTTGGCTGGGAAGAGAGAACCTCGTGGGAGGTAGGCCTCAAGAAGACCCTTACTTGGTACAAGAACAACGTTGGCTATTGGGGAGACATCTCTGGTGCTCTTGTACCGCATCCCAGGATGCTCACAGGTTACAGCATCGGAAGATCGTCATCAAATCCTGAATCACTTGAAGCAACTGACTCTTTGGACACTCAAGCCAAGGAGACGAAGTTTTTGATTTACGGAAAGACAGGATGGATCGGCGGAATGTTGGGGAAGTTGTGCAAGGAGAAGGGAATTGCGTACGAGTATGGCCTCGCAAGACTGGAAGACAGGCGTGCAGTTGAAGCCGACATCCTTCGAGCTGAGCCAACGCATATTTTCAACGCAGCAGGAGTGACAGGTCGCCCGAACGTGGACTGGTGCGAGAGTCATCAGGTTGAAACAATTCGAGCGAACGTCGTCGGTGTGTTAACCCTCGCTGATGTTGCAAGGTGCGTACAGTGGACCTCGTTCGGCCAAGCTCTGTACTCCACCCGCCTACTATGTCTCAGGTGAAGTGACTATTTTGTGCAGGAACTATGGAGCACTGGTGGTGAACTTCGCAACTGGCTGCATCTTCGAGTACGACGATTCTCATCCCTTGGGAAGTGGTGTTGGCTTCAAGGAGACCGAATCCGCCAACTTCTTTGGATCCTTCTACTCTAGGACCAAAGGCATGGTAAGAGTTTAAGAGAAGCTCCTGCACAGCAACAAGCCAAGGTAAAACGGGATCCCAGCGCCTGACCCTTTTTCTGGTGTGAGCAGGTGGAGGAGCTTCTGAAATCGTATGACAACGTCTGCACTCTGCGGGTTCGGATGCCCATATCTTCGGACTTGTCCAATCCGAGAAACTTCATCACTAAGATTACCCGCTACCAGAAGGTAAGGCGAGAGGCGCCTGTCATCTAGCTCACCAAATACCGTTGGCGTTTTGTAATATGGCCCTTTCACCAAATACCTGACATTGTCCGCTTACCTGGGTGCCGTGCAGGTTGTGAACATCCCCAACTCCATGACGGTGCTGGACGAACTTTTACCAATCGCGATCGAGATGGCCAAGAGAAACCTAACTGGGATCTGGAACTTCACAAACCCTGGAGTAATTAGCCACAACGAGATTCTTGACCTTTACAAGAAGTACATCGACCCTGCTTTCACCTACACTAACTTCACCATCGAGGATCAGGTGAGCATTTCACCGCTTGCTATTTGCTCGAAACATCGACCTCAACTGAATGACTAACTATCGTGTTCCTATTGTCACACAGGCGAAGGTCATCGTGGCTGCTCGCAGCAACAACGAGCTTGATGCGTCGAAGCTTAAGGCGGAATTTCCCGAGCTCCTTGACATTAAGGCGTCCATGATCAAGTATGTCTTTGAAGCAAATGCAAAAGCGGCTTAGTACCACTGAGGTATCGAGAATGAATGAAGCATTGTGAAGGGTATCATGGTTGCAGAGAGAACCAGATTAGGGTCTGCATCATTGGCTGTTTGTGATTAGTGCAGTTGTTGCTTGTACGGTATGATGCATTCTGTACTCCAATAAATTGTTTTCCAAGTCCACACCTATGGCCTAACTCTCCAAGTGAGATGGTACACAGGTTGTCAGCTGACAATGGAAGTGAAAAAATCTACAAAACCACCATCTCCACATGTGATGTCACCTAACCCAAACGATCAACAATGGCCATCCACTAGCAGGCTACCATACAAGACCAACAAACGTCTTAGCAATCGGTCTCCATCATTATCGTCCACCCTTGCTAGCAGCAGGTGGAAGTTGCTTCCCAGCTTTATCCGATTGTGGGGGAGGAGCTACTAGCTGCCCACAGAGTCTCCAAGGAAGCTCCGGGTGCAGCATATGCCGCTCAAACACCCAAATGTCCTTCACAGAAATCTGATGTGTGAAGCCGTAACAGAGAGTAGAGAGTGTTCCAGTGAGACAGTCAGAATACAGGAGGCACAAACCATGCAGTGCCACACAACCAGCTACATGACAGGTGGATAGCGTAGCATAACTAATGCCCACCCTTGCTGTATAGAAACTTGGACCAATCTTGACAGCACCGGTATGTGCAAGTGAAAGGATTGGAAACTCACCTCAGCATTTGGATCCCCACTTATCAGCTTCCTGTTCTTGTCATATGCCGCAATGCGCTGCAGGGAAGAAGTTCGCATGAAGCAATACATAAACATTGCTAACGGAACATTCCTAAGAAGAGAGGGATGACAAGGCAAGGCAGGTGGTTATACAAAGGACGAGCCAAACAAGAAGGCTAAAGGTTGGTGACGAGCCATGGTGAATTATGTACAGCACTTGGGGGTGAGACAGGGGCCTCACCTGCTTGCTCTTGATCTCAAGGGTGAGCTGAACGAAACCATTCTCTGGTTTGCTCTTCTCGAGTGAAATCTGGCAGAAATTCACATGCATCACTCCCACCCAAAATATGCAGTTAGGGGCAAATACCATGAAGGACAGAGAGAGAATCGCAGAACAAGCGCTGAAACGCCAGGACTGAAAAGTGAGTGGGGGTGCAGGAGAGGGAAGGGCGAGAACGAGCAGAGACGGAAGTGGGGAAGGGAGGGGAGGGAAGGATGATAAAACTGTTGCCACAAGGAGAATCACATATTTAACACTCACCAAGCGTGCTTGCAAGGTCTTGAAGGAAAGGGGAGGCTTGTTGCTGGATGCAACAACCGCCTTGCTGCTACCGCTGCTGTTACCACTGCTGGTCCTGCTGCTGCTGCTGCCAACAGTGGCACCATCTGAGGATCCGACCAGGTGCCACTCCACCCGAGCTATGCCCATCTCGGCTCGGTGCTTGAGGGAGCTCTTTAGCGACTGGGGCAACAGGGGGAGAAGGGTTAGGGGAAGAACGGTGAGGGCAAGATGGAGAGGGGGTGACTTTTGAGTCGACTCAAAAGATGGTGAGGGGGTGCTGGTGTTGGTTCTAACTAGTTCCAAAAAAGAGTGAGAGAGGGAGAGATGGAGTGTGCATGAAAGAGCAAGATTATGGAGTGAGCAAGAGCAGTGACGAGCAGTGAGGAGTAGGGAAGAGCATCGAGGAGTAGGGAAGAGCATTGAGGAGTAGGGAAGAGCATTGAGGAGTAGGGAAGAGCATTGAGGAGTAGGGAAGAGCATTGAGGAGTAGGGAAGAGCATTGAGGAGTAGGGAAGAGCATTGAGGAGTAGGGAAGAGTAGGGAAGAAGGGGGGCGTGCTTTGGTGGGGGGAGGGGGGGAAGGGGGGGGCGGGTGGTACCGAGAACGCATTCTCTGTCACCAGGTGCCTCAGTGCCGTGCGATCATCCGATGCAATGGCGCGATTGATCTGGGCGCGCGCGCGCGCGCACACACACACACACACACACACACGGGGGCCGGGCAACAGAAGGGGGCGGTAAGAAGTGCGGGGGGGGAGGAAGGGTGGAGGAGAGAAGGAGACAAAGGTCAAACGGGGTTTTGGAGTTTCTATAGAGCCGATGCGATGTGTTGGTATTGACATGGCGCGTGCTTCTTAGTGCTGCAGAAGGAAGGATGCAGCCACCACTACAGCAAGGGAAGTGCTCATGGGGCTATAGTAGGGCAGAGCAAAACGGGTTGACATGCAAACATGGCATGGCAAGGCATGGTGACATGACGCATGGCGTGATGCATGGCGTGACGCATGGCGTGATGCATGGCGTGATGCATGGCGTGATGCATGGCGTGATGCATGGCGTGATGCATGGCGTGATGCATGGCGTGACGCATGGCGTGATGCATGGCGTGATGCATGGCGTGACCCATGGCGTGATGCATGTCGTGATGCATGGCGTGATGCATGGCGTGATGCATGGCGTGATGCATGGCGTGATGCATGGCGTGACGCATGGCGTGATGCATGGCGTGATGCATGGCGTGATGCATGGCGTGATGCATGGCGTGATGTCCGTACTGCGCCCTTGGAAGCACAGCAGTACCTAGCCCTCGGCGGCACGGCAGTACCTAGCTCTTGGCAGCACGTCAGGTGCCTACCTGCTTGTAGGTGCCTGCTAGCTCCCTGTAGAGCGCATGTCTGGAGTACCCCCTGTTGTGGCGCCTCAGCATGGCGATGGTGTACCCTGTCTTGAGCTGACGGGAAGACGAAAGAGGGAAAAGGGGAGAGGGAGGTGCGGGAAGAAAAGCAGGGGAAGAGGGGAGAGGGGATAGGGAATAGGGGAGGAGACGGGGGTCGTGTTCAGAAGCGGCCGAAAACAGAGACGAAGCCGGGAGGTTGACGGAGAGAGAAGGGAGGGGATAATAGGATGATGGGATGTTAGAAGACGAGGGTGCGAGGACGGAGAGGAGAGAGAGAGGATTCGCAAGAAGGACATGCGGGGTGAGGGGAGGCAATCAATTGGGGGAGAGGAGACAGGAGCAGACAAGAAGAAATGTGCATGCAGGTCTCTGGACATAATTCCAGTGAGCGCTGTTAGAAAGGCGGTTTAGCAAGTAGGAAAAACAGTTGTAAAAACGCTATGCTTATGTAACCAGGAGCAGACGAGAAGAGGTGTGCATGCAGGGTGCCTTGAAATGCTAAGACGGGAGGTGGGGGGCGGGTGGCACTGGCTACTGGCGTAAATAGGCTCTCAAAGTGCCCAGTAACCATCCCATGCCATGACATGCCACCATCCCATACCACCAACCCATACCACCATCCCATACCACCATCCCATACCACCATCCCATACCACCATCCCATCCCATCCCATACCACGCCATACCATAGCATCACACACCACACCACACCACACCACCCCACCCCACCGCACCCCACGCATGCTCCTCACCGCATCGCTCCACTTGACCCAGCGTCGTTTCCACCCCGCACTCGTGAACCAGCTGAAGAGAGGGGCGGGTGGGGAGGGGAGGGAGAAGGGGAAGGGGAGGGGGGAGGGGAAGGGGAGGGGGGAGGGGGAACGAGGGAAAAGATCGAGTCAAGAAAAACCAGGATAGCAGGGAACGCAGAAGACTGCGGGAGACTGCGAGAGATTGCGGGAGGCAGGCGTCAGAAAGCAGCAGCAGAAACAGCAGCAGAAACAGCGGCAAGAGAAACAGCAGCAGCAGCAGTCACCTGGTGAGGAAGGGCATCGGGGGAGGAGGGCGATAGGGGTCGCCGATCACCCCCGGGCTCTGCAGGTACACGCGCAGACGCGCCTGCAGGAGGGGGGCGAGGGGGAGAGGGAGGGGGAGAGGGAGGGGGAGAGGGAGGGGGAGAGGGAGGGGGAGAGGGAGGGGGAGAGGGAGGGGGAGAGGGAGGGGGAGAGGGAGGGGGAGAGGGAGGGGGAGAGGGAGGGGGAGAGGGAGGGGGAGAGGGAGGGGAGAGGGAGGGGAGAGGGAGGGGGAGAGGGAGGGGGAGAGGGAGGGGGAGAGGGAGGGGGAGGGGAGGGGGAGGGGGAGGGGGAGGGGGAGGGGAGGGGGCACGAAAGAGGGAGAACTCTTTGTTTTCAAACAGTAAGGGTCGCCTATCGCCCCCGGGCTCTGCAGGTACACGTGCAGGAGTCTATTTTTGAGGCGCCTCAAAAATAGACGCCCCCGGGCTCTGCAGGTACACGTCCAGACGCGCCTGAGGGAGGGGGAGAGGACTTTTGAGGCGCCTCAAAAGACGCGCCTGAGGGAGGAGGAGAGGGGGACGGGGGCCCAGAGGGAGTGGTGGAACGGGGGTTGGGGCGGCGGGGGGGACGTGGGGGTGGGGGGTGAAGGGGTGAGTAGTAAGTCCCAACCCAATGCCTCTGAACCTGGCAGAACGCCTGTGGAGTGCGTATGCCACCCTCTACACTTTCTCAAAACCCTGCTCCCCAAACCCCTTTCCCTCACACCTTCCTAAACCCCCCCAAACCCCTCTAGAACTCGTTTGAGGCGCCTCGAAACCGGACACGCGGCGGTAAACGGGGGGTGGGATGCTTGCGCCGCTCAATTCCTCTTGTACCTCTTGTGGCCTGTGCACGGGCCCTGTAGCGGGCTGGGAAATGGATGGGGGCTCAGACCTACGGGCTGATCCCTCAACCCTTCCCTCACAGACCCCTCCTAGCCCCTCAAGTCACCTTCCTTCCCCCCTTCCTAGTCACCTTCCTTCTCCCGCACAGGGCCTCCTAACCCCTCTTAGCCCCTCTCGCGTACCTGCTGCTGCATGTGCACGGGCCCTCTAGGCGGCTGCGTCTGCACGGGGCCTCGCGGCGCCTGCGTCGCCATGGTCGCCGGGCGATGCGGCGGGAAAAGCGGGGAGGCGGGAGGAGGGATCAGGGGCGGCGAGCATTGCGCGCTGTGGAAAAGGCGATGGCGACGATGTATGCGATGGGTCTGGTGATGGTTTTGGTGATCGTGACCCGACAGAGACGGGCAACCTCGAACATTCCGAAGCCCGAATACGTGGTCCTGCTGCTGCAAGCAGAGCGCGGCAGCGATCGGGGGAAGGACGAGTGACTTAGCCGCCGGCGAGACTGCGCCGAAACTGCCGCCGCCGCCGTCAAAGCCGCCGTCAATGCAGGCGCCGCCGAACGCGGACGAGAAGGCGCGGCGAGGCGGATGGATCGGCGCGAGGTGGGCGGAAGGCGGGGGGAGGGATGGGGGGCGGAGGGATGGGGGCAGGAGGGATGGCGGCCGGAGGAGGGATCGGCACGCTGCCAGGAGCAGATCTCGCGCGCTGGATCTCATCGCGACGGATGCACGGTCGAGATTGGCTGGCAAGGAGATCGCTCAGATCGTGCGGCTGACGAGGACCTGGTCGTCTCTACGGAGGTGGCACGTCCATGGAGGATCGCTGACGTCACAACGGAAGATCTAACAGCGCTCTGACGATGCGCACGTCGCGAGCAGCAGGGGTGGGAACAGTGCTTCCACGCCTATTTCTTTCCCGCAGCTATTCGCTCTGCCACCTGTGACACTTGTCGAGCCGTGAGTGGCCAAGAGGCAAGAAATCTACTGGAAGGCCGCCTGAGTCACTGTAGTGCAAATGGACTCGAAGCTTTATGGGTCACACAATTTGTACGCGAAACAATCAGCTTTGATATGCGTATGGGAATCATCATCTACCATATTGATACATTCCATTTCATCCCAACATCGTGTGGCAAATTAGGCCGTGTGAAGGTTGATTGCGTTTCGGACAGATAAAATAACGCCGTAAAACGGTTCGGTAGGGTATTGACACACCCTTAGCCTCCCTACCTCTTACCACCACTCCAGTTCTTGTCCACTGTCGCTGTTCTCTAGAATCTAGATCCCGCGTGACTCTTTTTGGACTCGCCTTCCCCTGCTCTCAGCTTGCGCCTTCCCATCCCACGTCTCTTTTCCTGCTGCCGCCCCCAAGCGGTGCTCTCCTCGCGACCTCCCTTATCGCGTACTCGCTCGCATTTCTCGCGAACGTCGCCTAACCGTCGCATCCAGACCCGGCGCGCCAATGCCGCCCAAGGGCAAGGGCAAGGCCGGTGGGGGAGGCGGGGGCGACGACAAGGGGAAAGGCGGGAAGGGCGGGGGGAAGGGCGAGCTCGGTACATGCACGTACGTTAAAGGTACGCTCGTTAATGTTCCGTCAACGTCTCGCGACGCCTCTGCCTTTCGCCTCTGCCTCGACCAGCCGTCTTCGTCGTCGTTGTCGTTGTTGTCGTCTTTGTCGTCGTTTCGTCGTTGAGTCTGCCTGCGTCCGTTGGCTCGTCGGGTTACCTCATCCAGCGAAGCGACCAGCGCACAGCGAGCCAGGTGGCGAGGTAACCCCACGAGGTAACCCGATGAGGTAACGAAGAGACCAGCGCACGGCAATACATCTGGCTCAACCCCTCCTTGTCTCCTCCCTTCCCTCCCCCCTTTCCCACCCTCCCCGGCTTTCCCCCACCTCCTCCGCCCCCCAGCGCGCCACATACTCTGCGAGAAGCAGGGCAAGATCAACGAGGCATTCGGCCCTCCTCCCACCCTGCTGCTGTCTCCCCCCTCCGCTCTTTCTTCCACCTCTCACTTCCGCCTTTCCCTCCCGCGCTCCCCCCCCCCACACACACCCCACACACCCCCCTCCCTCCTCCCAGCGCGCCACATACTGTGCGAGAAGCAGGGCAAGATCAACGAGGCGTACAAGAAGCTCCAGGAGGGGTGGCACCAATTCTTTCTCCCACCCTGCATCCCCCTCTGCTGCTTGTATCCCCTTCCGCTCCCCCCTCTTCCCCCTCCACCCCCACCTCCCCTCCCCCTCCCCCCTACCTCCCTCCCTCCCCCCCCTCTCAGCGCGGCACATACTGTGCGAGAAGCAGGGCAAGATCAACGAGGCATACAAGAAGCTGCAGGAGGGGTGGCTGGACGAGGGGGATAAGGTGCCGCCCGCCAAGTTCGGCGAGGTGGGTGGGTGGGTGGGTGGGTGCTGTGCTGTGCTGTGGCGTGGCGTGGGTGGTGTGCTTTGAGACGGCTTTACCATCCTCTGGGTGGATGGGTAAGCGGTTAGGTGGGTGGATGGGTTAGCGGTTAGGTGGGTGGATGGGTAAGCTGTTAGGTGCGTGGATGGGTTTTGGGTGGGTGAGTGGTTGGGTGGGCGGCATAGCATTGCATGGCATAGCATGGCATGTCGTGGCTTCTCAAGCGGTCCGTTTATTCCTTGGAATCCGAGGTACAGGCTAGGCATGCGGGAGACAACAAGGGAGAGGTACGTGCATGTTGGGGGTGCCCGGAACTACTCAAGCTCCCCTAGGGGCTCTACTACAGCGAAACAGTCCCCGAGGGCCATGTCGGCATCGGGTGTGCCCACGGGGGTGTGGGGGGCCGGGGAGGCTTCGTTAACCTTGCCGAGGTAAGCCAAGGCCTGCGCCCGCTGGAGCGTCACGGACCAGCGCTGGCGGAACTGGTGGAGTAATTTTGCTGCTTGGTAGGAGCTGGGGTCGGCATTGAAGAGCCTCCTGGCTCCCGTGTCTGCCAACAGTTTCAGGAAGGTGGGGACTTCGGCGTAGGGGCAGCCGTAAGTCTCGACCGCCAGTGGGAAGAAGCCTACGTAGGGAGCCCGATTTCGGTAGTGAGATATCTTTTTGTCAGCTTGCTCCCGGGCCATGTATCCTCGTCCTTTCCGCGCATCCGGGTCCCGGCTGCTGATGGGGTCGGTGACGGTGACGTCACAGATCCAGACGGCTCCAGAGCTGCGGTCGCGGAGCGCGAGGTCGGCCTTGTGACCGTCCACGGGGCTGTAGATGGTCGTTTCTTTGGTAACTATGAAATCTGCGTCCCGGGCCATCCGGATGCTCTCATCCCGCAGGGCGTTATGGGTGTCTGTCCGTCCATGCCCTGTGCCACAACGAAGGAGGTGGTTGGGCAGCCTTGTGTCGAGGATTTCAAATTCCTCGGTGCAGTTGCAGGTGCGGGGGGCGGGGAACGAAAGTCCGAGGCGGAAAGCCAGGGCAATGACGAAGTGTGGAGCTTCAAGGCGGAGGGATGGGAAGATTGGGATGGCGTGGAGCCAGTCCCCTGCTCCATATCCAGCCAGGGAAAACAGTCGTTGTGTGTGCCCGGAGTTGGGGTTGGGGTCCATTGTCCGTGGCTTCTCTCTCTCTCTCTCTCTCTCTCTCTCTCTCTCTCTCTCTCTCTCTCTCTCTCTCTCTCTCTCTCTCTCTCTCTCTCGAACGGTCCTTCATTGCTGGGAGATCCTGGGTACAGGCGAGGCATATAAGGTAGGTACAAGCATGCATGGTATTCCTGGTCTTGCTCCTAGTCCCCGGCTATTCCCTGGGGTGCTCAATGACCGCGAAGCAGTCCCCAAGGGACATGCCCGCCGCAGGAGCACCCAGGGGCGGCCACTCGAGTGGTGAAGCCTCATTCACCTTCCCGAGGTAGGTGAGGGCTTGGCCCCGCTGGAGGGTGACGGACCACCGCTGGCGGAACTGACTAAGCAGTTTTGCCGCTTGGTAGGAGCTGGGGTCGGCGTTGAAGAGGCGGCGGGCGGCCGTGTGCGCCAGGAGTTTGAGGAAGGTTGGCACCTCGGCGCAAGGGCAGCCGTAGGTCTCGACCACCAGCGGGAAGAAGCCGACATACGCTGCCCTGTGGCGGTAGTCGTGGATCTTTTTGTCAGCCTGTTCGCGGGCCATGTAACCTCGACCCTTGCGGGCCAGGGGGTCTCGAGAGCTAACTGGGTCAGTGATGGTGACGTCACAGATCCAGACCGCCCCCGAGTCCCGGTCTCGTAAAGCGAGGTCGGCGGTTTTGCCGTCAACGGGGTTGTAGATCGCAGTCTCCTTTGTGACTATGAGCTGTGCGTCCCGGCCCATGCGAATGCATTCGTCGCGGAGGGCGTTGTGGGTGTCGGTTCGGCCGTGCCCTGTCCCGCAGCGGAAGAGGTGGTTTGGGAGGCGGGGATCCTCGATTACTACCCTCTTGGCGCAGTTGCAGACTCTGGGTGCGGGGAAGGGGAGGCCCATACGGAAGGCCAGGGCTATGGCAAAATGTGGGGGTGCCAGGCGGAGCGAGGGGAAGAGGGGGATGGCGAGGAGCCAGTCGCCGGCACCGTACCCGGTGAGGGAGAGAAGTCTCTGTGTGTGGCCGCTGAGGGGATTGGGGTCCATCTCCCTTGACGCGGTCAGCTGGCTGGCGAAACGGGCGGCGTGTACCTCCAGAGCCAGGCGGTGCTGGAGCGGGTCGTCAGTGGGCTCTGCCCGTTCGGCTTGGAGGAGTTTCAAGGCTGGGGCTGGGAGGGCCGCCTCGCACTCCGCCAGCCAGGTATGTAGAGGGGTAGGGCCAGTGAAGGGGGGGGCCAGGAAGCAAGCGGCGGCTGCGAGCGGGCCGGTCGGGTCCGAGGGCAGGGAGACCAGGAGCTGGTGGGCCTGGGTGACGCTGGTAAGGAAGGCATGGGGTCCTTCCACGGTGGGGTCCGTGAGACCCAAGCCGCCGAGTGAGGGGGGCAGAGATGCTTGCTGCCAAATGCGCGACGATTCTCGTTCCCCCCTGGGGGACGACATAGGCTCTCTCTCTCTCGAATGGTCCTTTGTTGCTGGGAATCCTGGGTACATGCTAGGCAAGTGGAGCAGGCGTAGGCTAGAGCCGCCGGTGGGGAAAGGCCAGCACCCGGCCCTACCAACCCCCCCCCCCCCCCCCCCCCCCCCTTTTCTAAGGTTCTATCACGGCGAAGCAGTCCCCGAGGGACATGCCCGCTTCAGGCCCTCCCAAGGGGGGCCACTCTAGCGGTGACGCCTCGTTCACTTTCCCCAGGTAGGCCAGTGCCTGTCCTCTTTGGAGGGTGACGGACCAGCGCTGGCGAAACTGGCTAAGTAGTTTCGCCGCCTGGTACGAGGAGGGGTCGGCATTGAAAAGGCGCCGGGCGGCCGTGTGTGCCAGGAGTTTGAGGAAGGCCGGCACTTCCGCGCAGGGGCAGCCGTATGTCTCAACGGCCAGCGGGAAGAAGCCTACGTATTCTGCCCTGTGGCGGTACATGTCGGTCTTCTTGTCCGCCTGCTCCCTTGCCGTGTAACCGCGCCCCTTGCGGGCGAGGGGGTCCCTGGAGCTGACTGGGTCTGTAACAGTGACGTCGCAGATCCAGACTGCTCCCGAGTCCCGGTCCCGGACGGCTAGGTCGGCGGTTTTGCCATCGACCGGGTTGTAGAGGGCCGTCTCTTTCGAGACGATGAGCTGCGCGTCCTGGCCCATACGGATGCATTCATCCCTGAGGGCGTTGTGGGTATCGGTGCGCCCGTGCCCTGTCCCACAACGGAACAGGTGGTTGGGGAGCCGTGGGTCCGGGATCTGGACCTTCTTGGCGCAGTTGCAAACTCGTGGTGTGGGGAAGGGGAGGCCCAGGCGGAAGGCGAGGGCTATGGCGAAGTGAGGGGGTGCCAGCCTGAGGGAGGGGAAGAGGGGGATTGCTAGGAGCCAGTCCCCTGCCCCATACCCCGTGAGGGAGAGGAGCCGCTGAGTGTGACCGCTGAGGGGGTTGAGCTCCATTGTCCTGGTCGCCTCCAGCTGCTCGGCGAACCGTGCTGCATGGACTTCCAGGGCGATGCGGTGCTGGAGCGGGGCGTCTGACGGTTCCGTGAGCTCGGCTCGTAGTAGCTCCCGGGCGGGAGCTGGCAGCGCCGCTTCGCATTCGGCTAGCCAGGAGTGGAGGGGGGTGGGGCTGGCGTAGGGTGGTGTGAGGGAGCGGGCCACTGCCCCGAGGGGGCTGGAAGGGTCCTTGGCGAGGGAGGCCAGGAGCCGCTGGGCGTGGGCTACGCTGGTAAGGAGGGCGTGTGGCCCTTCGACTGCGGGGTCTGTCAGCCCGAGCCCACCGAGGGAGGGAGGGAGGGAGGCCTGCTGCCACGTGCGCGCCATCTCATGATCCCCGCGCGGGGGCTGGAGGTTGCACGCCCTCAGGAGGGTGTGGTAGAGTTGTTGCACGCCCTCACGCCATCTCTCTCTCTCTCTCTCTCTCTCTCTCTCTCTCTCTCTCTCTCTCTCTCTCTCTCTCTCTCTCTCTCTCTCTCTCTCTCTCTCTCTCTCTCTCTCTCTCTCTCTCTCTCTCTCTCTCGAACGGTCCTTCATTGCTGGGAAATCCTGGGTACAGGCGAGGCATATAAGGTGGGTACAAGCAAGGATGATACTTCTGGCCGAGCTTCTAGCCAATGGCTATTCCCTAGGGTGCTCTATGATAGCGAAGCAGTCCCCTAGGGACATGCCCGCTTCAGGCGCACCGAGGGGTGGCCACTCGAGCGGCGAAGCCTCGTTCACCTTCCCGAGGTAGGTGAGGGCCTGTCCCCTCTGGAGGGTGACGGACCAGCGCTGGCGGAACTGGCTTAGCAGTTTTGCCGCCTGGTAGGAGCTGGGGTCGGCGTTGAAAAGGTGGCGGGCGGCCGTGTGTGCCAGGAGTTTTAGGAAAGTTGGCACCTGAAAGTTGGCATTCGTCTCGGAGGGCGTTGTGTGTGTCGGTGCGGCCGTGCCCAGTCCCACATCGAAAGAGGTGATTTGGGAGACGTGGGTCCTCTATCGCCACCTTCCTGGCGCAGTTGCAGACCCTGGGTGCAGGGAAAGGGAGGCCCATACGAAAGGCCAGGGCTATGGCGTAGTGTGGGGGCGCCAGCCGGAGTGAGGGGAATAGGGGGATGGCGAGGAGCCAGTCGCCGGCGCCGTACCCGGTGAGTGAGAGAAGCCTCTGAGTGTGGCCGCTGAGGGGGTTGAGTTCCATCTCCCTTGAGGCAGCCAGTTGGTGGGCGAAGCGGGCTGCGTGCACCTCCAGGGCCAGCCGATGCTGGAGGGGTTCGTCAGAGGCATCGGCCCCCTCGGCCTGCAGGAGCGCCAAGGCTGGGGCTGGGAGGGACTCCTCGCACTCCAGCAGCCAGGAGTGGAGGGGGGTCGGGCTGTTAAATGGGGGGGCCAGGGAGCACGCCGCCGCTGCGAGTGGACCGGTCGGGTCTGATGGGAGGGAAATCAACAGCCGGTGGGCCTGTGTGACGCTGGTGAGGAAGGCGTGCGGGCCCTCCACTGCGGGGTCTGTGAGGCCTAGGCCGCCAAGGGAGGGGGGCAGAGAAGCCTGCTGCCATGTGCGCGACAGTTCCCGCTCTCCTCGTGGGAGCTGGAGGTTGCACGAGTGGAGCAGGGTGTGGAAGAGCTCCTGGCCCCACCGGGACCAGTCCTCGGCGGGTAGCAGATTGAGAGGGGTGGTGCGGGTCAGGTAGGACACTCGGCGCGAGACAGAGCGGTGGAGGAGGAGGCCGGCGGTTTGGGGGTCCATGTTTGCCAGGGCGGGTAGCGGTCTGACCATGTCGGCCAGCTGCTCCCGAAGGAAAGCGGCCGTTGCCTCGGGGGGGCCGATGTGGCTCCCGAGGACGCGCAGCCCGTCGGCGCTGAGGGGGATGCCGGGAGGGAGCATGGAGCTGGGAGGCCGGGAGGCCGACCAGGCCGCGCACTTAGAGGGGTTGTGCGTGAGGCCCAAGGGGCGGAGGGCCTCTGTGAGGTGTGTGAACGCCGCCGCGCATGCCGACGGCTCTCCGAGTAGCGTGATGTCGTCGGCATATGCGAGGCAGAGAGCGCTAGGGAAAGCCGAGGCTGTCGCCTGAAGCGCCGGGTGCATGGCTGCCGCAAAGAGCAGGGGACCCATCGGGTCCCCCTGTCTAACTCCTCGGGCACTGAGGAGTGGCCCACTGTTGAAGCCTGCGTCGAGGTAGAGGCGTGATGGGGCGCCGTACGAGAGCTGGACGAAGGGGAGTAGTGGTCGGAGGGGTGAGTTGAAGAGCCCTGCGACTATCGCGGCCCGATCGACGCTGTTGAAGGCGTTCGAAAGGTCGACTTGGAGTACCAGGGCAGCGGGGAATTCGGTTGTGTAGGCGCGCGCTGCATGGATGATCGCCTCACCGCCTGCTCGTACTGCTACCCCGAACTGCAGAGGTAAGAAGTGGGCATGCGCCTGCTCCGTCATGGTTAGAAGGCCCGCCTTCGCCACGAGGCGATGCAGGCATTCGCCTATGGCGATGGGACGCGTGCCGCACCCGGGTTTAGGAAAAGCGATGAGGCGGCTGGCAGTGAGGAGGGATGCAATTTCGGCCGTGGAGTCCCCTTTTAGCAGGCGGGTTGTGAGCGCGTATAGGTTGCTGGCGACCGTTCCGTTGGCGAGGGCAGCCTCGCGAATGTGCTCGAAACACATTCCTGAAGGCCCTGCGCCCACCCCGTTCTCGCAACGGCTGAGTAACCGGATGAAATCAGCTTGCGAGAATGTGGGGCTCGTCTCCGATTCGTCGAGGACGGGCCAGGTGATTGACTCAGTCAGCGGGGCGGGGTGCTTGGACTTCAACGCTTCGAGGACGTCGGGGGTTGAAGCGCTGACTGGTGTTGAGTCAAGTGCCAGTAAGGCACGTCTGAGACTGCCACGGCGGACAAGCCCTTCCGCTCGTGTTTGCCTGCCGATGGAGTCTGCCATGTGGCGAGGAGCGGGGGGGTTATTTACGGCGTCGATTGCTGACAGGTACAGCAGTTGCCATTCGCCCGCCAGGAACTGCTGCAGTCGGTTTTCCACTGCGGCCCAATCAGGGTGCTTGGGCGAATGCAGGCGAAGGGTTAGGCGGGGGACGAAAAGCAACAGACGCCAACCAGCGAGGCTGGTTGGCCTGTGAGCGATATGGAGTAGAGGTGTCAGAAGTGCCAGGGCGAAGAGCTGACGAAGTTTGGGGGGGATTCTGCGGGAAATTGGGGGTTGGCGACTGTCGCAAAGCAGGTCGATATCCCATCCCGGCACCCCGGCGAACAGGGATTCGTTGGATGACAGCTCCTGTGGCGAAAACTGCCGAGGGTTCTGGATATCTGACGAACTACTGGCGCGGGAGGGACGCGTATTTCGCGCACTCCCTCTGGCAGCCTGGGCGGGAGAGCCAGGGGACTGTGTGTTCACAGGTCTTTGTCCGCGGGATCTGAGCGATGGGGACGGATTCCCGCCTCGCCTGCGTGACAAAGGTCTCTCCTCCAGAGCAGCACTGGACTCCTCCGTTGATGAGTCCTCGATCCTCTCCGGTACATAAGATGCGTCTCGTCTGTCTTCCTCGCCAGTCACCTCCCTCCGCCCTCCCTCCCTTAAAGCCCGGTTAGCAGCTGGAAGTCGTTCAGCGGGCCTCCATCCCGAGACAAGACACCTGTCCTTCCTCGACCGCGCCCCCGACCTCTTCGGTCCCGGCTTCCACTGCGTGCTGCCACTCCGCTTGACGGTCGCTGACCATTCCGACGCACGGGCGACGCCGAGGGAGGCGTCCGGGCCGTCAATGGAGTCACCCCGAAATGTGGTGGGAGCTGGGCGTCCCCATCGCGAACGGTCCCTTGATTTGGAGAGCACGGGGGAGAGCGTCCCCCGCCGAGATCGGGCGAGTTCCCCACCGCCCGCGAACCACGGTTGGGAGCGCGGAGTCCCCGTCGCGCCAACGAGCCGCCAGCAGACCCCAGAGCGTCTGTCTGGCAGCCGCCACCCGTCCTCCGCACATCACGAGCGGAAGGCCTCCGAGCGTGCGGACCAAGACCAGCCGGGGGCAGCGCAGCCTCCGCAGCAGCAGCCCCCGCTGGTCCTGCCGCGTCGAGGAACATCCCAGCGGGGGGCGCAAGCGGCTCCCGCCCAGCAGCGCCGGACGCCGCAGGGGCAGCGTGGGCAGTCTGGATCGCACCGCGGGTGGAGGGCCGGAGGGGGCAACGGGCGAGGCTCGGCCGCGGAGAGGCGGCTGGGTCGCGCTGCTGCGACCTTGGAAAACCTGTTCCGTGCGGTAGCACCGCCTCAGCCCCCGAGCGTGTGCCCCCCGCCGCAGATTCCGCCCGCGATAGTGCCTCCTCCGTATTCGGTGCCGCTGCAAGTGCCGTTTCGACCTCTTCCGGCGCCTGTGTCCGTGGCGCCACAGCCGCCACCCTGTCAGGAGCATCGTCAGCTGCCTCCGCCATCTGCCCCCTGGTACCAGGCCCGGCAGCTGCCCCAGCATCACCTCGCGCCCAACACGCAGGCTGCACCGACGGATGTGCCGACCATGGGGACGCTGCCAAGCTGGCAGCCACCAATGGTGGGGGCCTCGGTGGTGAGCTGGTACGAAGGCCAACCACAGCCGATGGCTCCGCCGTCCTTCGGCGCGCGGGCTGCCGCGCCCTTTGTTCCCCCCCGTATGGCGATGGGCTTGCCGACAGGAGTCGAGGGGGGGGCAGAAGCAGCGGAGACGGGGGGGGCGGAGTCCTCCGATGAGGGCTGTCCGTGTGAGGGGTCGGAGCAGCGCCGCCCAGGCGGGCTGCGGATGCCGCCGAGGGTGCAGGTGGAGCGGCTGCGAGGGCGGGAGCGCCTCGTGGAGATGGCGGTCCGAGTCGCCACGCTTCGTCGGCTCTGGCACGCGCGGCGGGCGATGGGGATCGCAGTGGGGATGCTGACGGACTCGCACTCCGTACTACGGGGCTTAGCGAGCCCGTGCAGGATGCCCCACGATCCTCTCCATCGCTGCGCGATGGCTGCAGCGGATCTCGCCGTCGTGTCGACGCGAGTGCAGCCTGCGCCCGCCCGGGGAACAGTGTTGGACCCCCAGCTCCTCGCCGTGATGCGCGCAGTGTCGGCGAGCATAGATTCGGCTGCAGCTGTAGACATCGTTGGCGGAGCCGTGTCAGCGCTCCAGCTCCTGGAGGGCTATGTGACGGCCCTGCTGGAGGAAGCGGGAGCGGACCAGCTCGCGTGACCTGCCCCCTCCTGACGTACGTCCGCGTGGGAGACGAGCTCACCAGCGCTAGAGCCTCGGTACGGCGGATGAGGCTCTCCATGTCTGGAGTTAGGTGTCGGGTGTCCCGGCTTGTGGTCTCCTTGTGCCGTTGTTGTTGTATCCTTGAGTTGTTGATTCTTGTGCAATGTATTTGCCAGCCCCTATCGCGCGGCCGCAGGCCGCGCTGCGAGCGACGGCGGCCGAAGGCCGCCGGCGCGAGCCGCCACCAAGGGAAGGAGAAAAAGAAGAAACCAAACTAAAAACAGAGGAATGAGAGGACTGAGAGCTCTAAATACTAAGGGACATAGGCTCTCTCTCTCTCGCTCTCTCTCTCTCCTCTCTCTCCCGCCACCAAGGGAAGGAGAAAAAGAAGAAACCAAACTAAAAATAGAGGAATGAGAGGACTGAGAGCTCTAAATACTAAGGGACATAGGCTCTCTCTCTCTCTCTCTCTCTCTCTCTCTCTCTCTCTCTCTCTCTCTCTCTCTCTCTCTCTCTCTCTCTCTCTCTCTCTCTCTCTCTCTCTCTCTCTCTCTCTCTCTTTCTCTCTCCCTATGGTTCCCCATCCCCATCCGCTTCCCCTTCCCCTCTCCACAGATAGCCCAGGAGTACTCCGAGTGTCCGTCCGCCAAGAAGGGCGGCGACCTGGGGTGGTTCCCCCGTGGCAAGATGGCGGGGCCCTTCCAGGATGTGGCTTTCGCCACGCCCATCGGCGCCACGTCAGCGCCCTTCAAGTCAACGTGAGTCAACTGGGGACAATAGGGGTCCACTGAGGGCAACAGGGGTCAACAGGGGTCAATAGGGGTCAACAGGGGAGTCAACAGGGGAGTCAACAGGGGAGTCAACAGGGGTCAACAGGGGTTGCTGCTGGATGGTGTGGGGCTGAACTGCAGCCGAGGTGATGAGTTGCGGGCCAGTGGGTTCTGGCTGCTTCACTGTTTGCCCCTTAGCTGGGCCCAACTCGATGCCGTCCAAAGTCAAACTGTCTGCCCCGACAATAGCATACAAATCATATGTTGCTGGTGTGTACGTCTCGTCGTCACACGCTGCGGCGAGCCTGTGGTTTCTAAGAGCTCCTCCAGTGGTCCCTGCTCTAAATACATATTCTGCATTTCCTGCTGTTCTCCCTCTCACCATGGTCACACTACCCTCTCAGGCACGGTTACCACGTAATTCTGGTGGAAGGGCGGAAGAACTGAATACCGGTCGGTACCGCTCTTCACTCCCAGAAAACAGAAGAATATGTTAGTGCAACATTGGTAGCAGTAGGTAGGCCCGTCTCCTGGCAAGTTCTCTTTTGGAAAAAAACGTGTCTGAGCAATCAGACACGTTCTGCGCACTTTGTCTGATTCGCTTTTCAGGATCAGAGAATTTTGAAAAAGTTGTCTGATTTTCCAGAGAATTTGAGAATCTTTGTCTGAACATACAGAGAAATTCTACTGCATAGTCTGTTCTGTTAGTGTTTGACAATAGAAGATACAGTTAAGCACTTTGATTAAGTTAGTACTACTTGCAAGCTACAAACGAACGAGCATGCAGGCAGATGGCCATTCCCCCCCTCCCTACATTTACGGTACCTACTCGTCATCATCAAATTCCGTCAGTTCCTCCTCCTCTACCTCCTCCTCCACCTCCTCTTCCACGTCTCCTTCCTCCAGCCCATCCTCAACCACAGCCATCCCCTTCCACTTCCTGATCTGAGCCTCGAGCTCAGCGATCTTCCTTCTCTTCTTTGCCTCGGCCTTGCTCTTCTTCCTCCTGGACATTGGGGCAAGAATGGGGGCAATTGCATCCTGGCAAGGCCGCCTTGGCTTGGCGGCCTTCCACATGTCAACGATCTCATCCCACTGCATGTCGTAATCCTGCCGGAGGGAAATGCACACAAGGTCGCCCAAGCGGGCATCACAGAGGTTGCCCCGAGACCAGCTCTTAATGACGTTCTGGCGGGAAAATCCCCGCTCGCACTCCACCGTGCTCAACGGGAGCACGGCGGTTGCCACCCAAAACTTAACAAGATTGGGATAGGCATCTTCCCAGTCGCGTGTCCCCAGCATGTGCCGCAGGCTGACGTGGTACGCCATCTCCCCGTGATGCGCGTCCATGATGTTGACGAATGAGGTCAGCTCTGCCTTGGCGCGCTTCCAGCTAACGCCTGGGAGGGGGACGGGGGGGGGGGTACATTGCGAGGGGAGGGAATCAGCAAAGTGTGAGTATAACGCATGGCATCACACTCACATAACAGGCACACTGAGTAAACATTAGAAGGGTAATCCAGAAAAGCACTTGGAAAAGTATGTTGGTCTCGAGAACTTACCAGGCAGGGGCTTGTTGTTGAATAACTTTTTCAAAAGCGCCAGCCACTCAAGCGCTTTCTTCTCGCGTTCCGATCGCGCAGTGGGATAGGCGCTTGAGAGAAAAAGCTTGGTTCCTCCGAGCTGCTGCAGGTCGCTGAACCTTGACTCGATGCAGTCGATCGTCTCTTGGGCCATGGCACGGCACAACATGATGCAAGACTTCTTGTCGCTCTTGAACTCCGAGTCCGAAATCGACTTCGTGTGAAGGATGTACTCGTGGCGGACCGGCTCGCCATCCTTCGCCTCCCCCTCGACGACCACACGACCTTCAGGCTCATGGCATGTCAAGAACTTGTGCAGGTGCTTGCTTCTGGGGCCGCCGAAAAAAGAGTCGCAATTGATGTACCGTGCGCGAATCACCTCGGTGGTGCTCTGCACCATGCTTCCCACCCTGGTGATGTCGACCTGCAAGTAGCACGAGAAAATCACATAGCCGAGGCATGTTTAGCACAGCATAGAACATGCATGTGCGCGATCGAAAGTATGTGCGCTATCTGAAGCGTTAGTGTATACGTTACCTGGCGACGCTGAAACTTCTTGTTAAGCCGGTTGAGCTCTGTCAGCAGGTCGGCGAGGAAGAAGAGGCAGAAGTGGAATTTATAGCTCCTTGCAACCTCGTACGAATCCCGGTCGTACTCGTGCAGCAGCAGGATGGCGGCGGGAAGAACTGCGACCAAGCGGAGTATTGCCTCGGCGCGTGAAAGCCAGCGGATGGCGAAGATAGACTGCATCTCCAGGAAGGTCTTCATCAGGATCTCCTGCAGCTCTCTGAAGCGGTCGTGCCACACTGAGGAGCGTCCCAAAATCTCGGCCAGCATCCTGATGATGTCGTCGATCATGTTGAAGTCGGGAAACTTCTTGGCAGCGTCCTTAGCTGCCAACGCCTCCCTGCTCAAACACGGAACATCATACATCAAAACCACGAAACATAAATCAGAACTACTCGATGAAGTCGGGAAACCTGCCAAGGTAGTGGTGCTGCACTACGCCTCACCTGTGAGCAATGCAGTGAGCAGAGACGAGGTGCGGCACGAGCTGCCGAAGGCGGGCAACCAGACCCTGTCGATCCCCCCTCATGACGCTGGCCCCATCCGTACTGATGCCTGAAACCTTATTGATGTCGACACCTGCCGATTCGAGATGGGTCTGCAAAATAGCTAAGAGGGATCCAGCATTGCACTTATGCACAGTGAGTAAGGCAAAAAACTCAGTGACAACCCTGTCGTTCTTCATGAATGTCACGTAGACAATTAAGTGCTTGCCGCGACGTCGATCGGTACTCTCGTCGACGCTGAGACCGATGAAATGACTCTTCAAGATGTGCTCGAGCTGCTTCTGCCGAAGGTAATTCGCCGTCGCCTCTGTCAGCTGCCTGAATCCGTACCTGTAACACATGGCAAGAAACGAGAAGCATTATTTGACTCTAGCGGTTCGAACAATGGGAGATTTGCAAAATCCAAAACACATACTCTGTGTGGTAGGTGCCGTAGTTGCTCTCGCCCAAGTCTGGCGTACCCTGCGAGGCCATGAAGTTCACCAGAGAAACATACATCAAGATCGGTGCGTCAGTTCTGCAGATGAATAACATCGCCATCAACAACTGAATGATACGTCTGCCTTCGACGTCGCCATTTGAGAAATCCTCGATGCGCTTCTGCTTCGTCTCGGCCCTCTCCTTAGCCTCCTTTTTCTCGACAGCGGCCTGGTGCTTCTTGGTACGCTGGTGCTTGCGCATCGTTTGCACCTGGATGTCTGCTCCGCCCTGTCCGCCTTTGCCGTACTTGCAGTTCTCCGACCGGTGCGCCGTGCAGATGCTGCACTTGATGGACGGGCGACCAAGATCGGTCTTGGTGAGGACGAGCCACGGAAAATTCTTCGACCACTCGGTTTCAAACTTGTGTTTCAGCTCTGCCTCACGTGCTTCAGCGACCTTCAGCGGCTCTGCTGCTTCTGCGTCCTCCTCGTCGTCGTCAGCATCATCGTCCTCCATATCTTCTGCTGTAGACGGGCTGGGCGCTGAACTCGGTGCAGAGTCAGGAGCCTTGGATGTGGCGCCCTTGAACCACGGCAGAGAAGCCTGCCGATACTTTCGCTTCTTGGCGGAGGAGCGAGCTGATGCTTCGGCATCGGTTTCCAAGCGGACCGCCGACGATAGTGTGGGCGACTGCGAGGGCTGAGGCAAGGACGGACTGGACGAACGCGCAGGCGACAAAGGAGGGGATGCTAGTGGCACGGGCCATGGCGAGGGCTCGGCTGAGGAAGGCGCAAGCATAGGGTCGATAGCGGCTGGGCGACGGGAGGTATCTGCAGCAGGGGTGCGCGACAGCTTTGAACGCAGGAAGTCTAGGCCTCGCATGGGAGGCGGGGATTCGCTACACCCTTCTGGCTGATCGTCGCCGTCAGCCTCGACAACGACAGCCATGTTGGCCCTACTTCGAGGGGGGTTTCTAAACCTGACACAGAACACGAGCAGAATAACGCACGACAACAACACATAACAGAAGTGGATGGAAGAAACAGGTGGAGACGAAGGGAGCAAGAAGCGGTTGGGGAGGGGGTTTCTTGGTCAAGTGCCATGGCGGCACGGACTGGCAAGTGACGAGACGATGGGCGGGGCGACGCGTCGTGATGGGCGGGGCGACGCGTCGTGATGGGCGGGATGACGTACAGCGGTGCACGTATGGTGCAGCAAGTTCACTGCATGGGGTGAGGCATGATCTGATCCCCACCGTGCGCTGGAGACCCAAGTAAGGCGCCGCAAAGGGCTCTGACTGGTCTGTTTTGCTGCAATACCGTAAAGTATCCAATCACATGTGCTCTAGCCACATCAGATGTTGCCACAGAAGGCTCGGGAAGGCTCACGTATGCCAAGGATGCGGAGGGGGGACAACGTGTGGCGACGCGAAAAAGGGAATATTCGCATGGGAGCACCTTACACCTGTATGTCTTTGTTTCAGAGAAACTAAAAACACTTGTCTAAAAATCAGAGAAACTGGTACACCTAGTCTGAAAATTTCAGAGAAATCTGAAAAGTTTGTCTAGTCCAATCAGAGTTTTTGCAAGCCCCTGTCTGAAAAATCAGAGAAACCCCTAAAAACCAGTCTGAATATCAGACAATCAGACAAAAAAAGTCTGCTCTTTACCCTGTGGCAATTCATTCATTGCCAGGGTTTCGTATGTTGTGTCAAACCGTTTTTTTCACAGTAGCACAACACAAGCCATCAAACAAAACGGGTGTTCTATTGACTACTACCACCAACAAACACCGCAGAGGGTGCTTTCTACAGGACCCTATATTACTTCGCATCACACTGAACACCTCAGTCACAGCCAGGCAGGCAGACCCATAAAGAGCCAGGGGACCAGTTTCCCTCCCAACAGTCTGCAGTCACAGCCCTAGGTATGGTATGTAGGTAAAAAAACAACCAGGCAGTTTCCCAACCACTGCTGACCCCTGCCCCCTGCATTCCCAACAGCCACGAAGAGCCATCCCTTTCACAGTTTCTCTCGAGCAGGATGCGCACACGCAGTCCCCTGTGCTCGTCACTGAAGCCCGCCACCACCACCACCTCATCCTCCCCCCCCGAAAGCACTCATGCACACTTGTCCTCCTCCTGACCATTACCCCCATAGCCATCATCACCCCTTGATGTAGTGAGGCGATTTAACACAGCCACAGGCATGGCCACCGCATCACTCGAGCAGGATGCGCACGCGGCCCCCTGTGCTCTTGTCCCTGGGTCCGCCACCACCACCTCGTCCTCCCCACTGCAGTCCTGCACTGCAGCATCCCCAGCAGCCACAGCCCCAGCCAACCAGCCACAGCCACAGCCGCTGCAACAGCCCCTGCCACAGCCACCGCATCACTCGAGCAGGATGCGCACGCGGTCGCCCGTGCTCTTGTCCCTGAAGTCCGCCACCACCACCTCGTCCTCCCCGCCCTCCGACTTGGACCGCGCTGCTGCACGCTCCACCAGCCCCGCCAGGTCAATGCCCGCCACGGCTGGGGGGGGGAGGGGGGTGAAAAACGGGTTGATCAGAGGGACAGGGAGATGAAGAGAGAGTGGGGGTATGAACCACCTGCTGCTGCGCGCTCCACCAGGCCTGCCAGGTCAACGCCCGCCACGGCTGGAGGGAGTGTGGGGGGAAACAAGGGGAGGGGGGGAGATGAGGGGTGGCAAGTGGGAGGAACAAGAACCTGCTGCTGCTGTGGGGGAGAATCCCTTCTTCTTGGCCCGCCAAGTCAAAGCCCTCCACAGCTGGTTGTAGGGAAAGGGCTTTTGAGGCGCCTCAAAAGGGCAAGGGAAAGAAGGACCAGAGCAGGTGAGGGAAAACCATGCAAGCATGGAAGCATGGAAGCATGGAAGCATGGAAGCATGGAAGCATGGAAGCATCAAAAAGCATGGAAGCATGGAAGCATGGAAGCATCGAAAAGCATGGAAGCATGGAAGCATCGAAAAGCACGACGCACGTGCTACTGCTTCACCAAACATGGCAGGTCTACCGGCTCTCACCCTCAAAGCCAACACGTGTCACACAGGAGCCACCACCACCAGCAACACGGACGAGGGAGCGAACGGGAGTCTCACCAGCAAGACAGACGAGAGAGAGCCAACCGAAACCAAGAGAGAGCCTTTGCACATATTTTTTTTGCGAAGATAGTAGAGAAAAAAATGTGGCAACCACCTTTGCACTGACCTGGAACGGTGTTGGCAAGACCGCCTAGGAAGCCGGCCTAAGGAGTGTTAAGAGGGGGGAATAGGGAAGAGGAGGGGCGGGGGAGGTGGGGGAGGTGGGGGAGAAGGAACGAACAGAGTAATGACGGAAAAGGAGACGGAGTAATGACATAGTTCTGTGATTCCGGAGTGCACCATGTGACAAGGGCTGCATATAAGCCTGGATTGTGGAGGGGTTCAAAGGGGTTGAAAGCGCGGCACTGCGCTCGGCACAAGGTAAGCCACTAAGGGAGCCAAAAATGGCAAGAAAGAATGGGGTCTCGAGACGAGGTTGCTGAGAGCATAGTTGAGCAGGGTTGAGCAGGGTTGAGCAGAGCAGCAGCAGAGCAGCAGCAGAGCAGCAGCACTGACCGGCACTCGGAAGTCGAGCTTGGCGATATTGTTGGGGCCTAGCACTTGCACTCGCAGCACTCTTGTCCAGTTACCCCACCCACTGCCACCACTACCACTGCTGCGGGTCTTCTCGAGGTTGTTCCAAGCCTCTGCACCTGTGCCTCCTGCTTCGTCCGGCTCTATAACCACTGGCTCCACCACATCAAACGGCTGCTGCTGCTGCTGGGTTTGTTGCTGCTGCTGCTGCTGCTGTTGTTGCCAGGTGGCCCCAGCAGCTGCCGCTGCAGCAGCAGCCGCTGCGTCTGCAGCAGCCACTCTAGCTGCCGCTGCTGCTTCCTCTGCTTGGGCTTCCGCTGCTACTCGAGCCGCCGCGGCTGCAGCAGCAGCAGCATCGCTGTCAGCCCTCCTCCTGCTCCCACTGCTGCTGCTGCTCCCATCACCGCCCTCCACCACTCTGTACCTTTCTTCCAAAGCGAGGTACTCTGGGAAGCCAACCGCATCCTTCAGCTCTTCGAAGGGGGGGAGGAGAGAGGGGCGGGGTAGTCGACCCGAGGCAAGGGCGGACAGGGCGTCCTGGGGGGTAAAAGGAGGGGGGTGTGGATGGCGGCAGGGAGGGAGGGAGGGAGGGAGGGAGGGAGGGAGGGAGGGAGGGAGGGAGGGAGGGAGGGAGGGAGGGAGGGAGGGAGGGAGGGAGGGAGGGAGGGAGGGAGGGAGGGAGGGAGGGAGGGAGGGAGGGAGGGAGGGAGGGAGGGAGGGAGGGAGGGAGGGAGGGAGGGAAGAGGGAGGGAGGGAGGGAGGGAGGGAGGGAGGGAGGGAGGGAGGGAGGGAGAGAGGGAGGGAGGGAGGGAGGGAGGGAGGGAGGGAGGGAGGGAGGGAGGGAGGGAGGGAGGGAGGGAGGGAGGGGGAGGGTATGGGCCAAGGGCATGCGGCGAGGCAGTATATTGCCCAAACAGTGGCAGCCAGCATGATGGAATCACGCATTTGTACGGTAAATGGAAAGTATTGATTCTGTCTGGTCGATGCCGACAGCATGCCATGTGTAGCCAAAGGACTACCGAGGCATAGCAGCACACACACGACCCATAGCACCATGACCCATAGCACCGCGACCCATAGCGCCATGACCCATAGCACCATGACCCATAGCACCGCGACCCATAGCACCATGACCCATAGCACCATGACCCATAGCACCATGACCCATAGCGCCATGACCCATAGCACCACGACCCATAGCACCATGACCCATGGCACCATGACCCATAGCACCATGACCCATAGCACCATGACCCATAGCACCAGCACGATGATACCTGCATGGCTCGGGTGCACACGCCCACGAGTGAGAGAGGGTAGACAGCGACAGCAAAGCCCATGTCCTCAAGCTGCTGGGGGGACAGCATGGGCGTGCGCCCCCCCCCTTCCAACTGGTTGATCTGTGGAGCGTGGGTGGAAGGAGTTAGGTTGGAGAGCAGAGGTAAGGAAAGGCAGGAGAGAGAGTAGAGAGGGGACCGAGGGAGAAAACGTTGTGATTCCTAAAAGGCATCTGAGACCCATCAAATGGCTCTCGGACACCACACCGCACCGCACAGCATCACACAACACCGCACCTCATCGCAGCATATACAGCGCAGAACACATGATGCCATGTCAAGTGCGTACCAGCTTAGGAGTGGAGTTTTGAGGCGCCTCAAAACTAGACCCTGACCACCAGCTTAGGAGTGTCTGGCAAGAACACATGTGTAATGAGTCGATTTTTTAGTCGACTCAAAAAGTGTCTGGCAAGAACAGAACACGCACGAACGTGCGCATGTCACCCCCCTCCGAGATCACTCAAAACGTCAGAATGCCCATCCCTTGAGCCAATCTTAGACCCACCCACACGTCACGCGCACCAGCTTAGGCGTGGCCGGTACTGCACGCAGGAATGTGCGTCTATTGCTCTCACACCTCATATTTGAGGCGCCTCAAAAATAGACCCCTCACACAGGAATGCGTGCCTATTGCTCTCACATCTCAGAGCATCTATGAACACCATGTCCGCCCCCTTCGTAGCCCACCCAAAGCGTCAGAGTCCCCCCCCCCCCCCCCCCCCACCCTTCTCATGCCACCTCTGAGCACACCTCCGAACCTGCGCGTACCAGCATCGGTGTGTCCGTGGCATAAAAGTCGTGTTTTGAGACTGAGACTCCTCAAAACATCGACTTTTATGGCACCTCTGAGTATAATACGCATGTCGGACCCCAGAGCATCAATGAGCACCATGTCCGCCCCCCCTTTCCAGTCCACTCCCTTCAGCCAGGCTCCGAGGCCCCAACGAGAGCTTGGCGCAGTTGCACACATCACACGTACCAGCTTCGGTGTGTCCGGAACCGCCCGCACGAACGCACGCATGTCGCTCTCAGACCCCAGAGCATCAATGAACACCATGTCCGCCCCCGCATCCGCAAACGCTGCTGCCCGCCACAGAGCCTCGTCTAAAGACACGGCCTGGCGGGCATCGGACCTGGTGAATGAGATGGGATGGTGTGTTTTGTGGGGGAAAGGGAGGAAACAGGCTTGTGCAACTGCTGCTCTACTCCCATCCCGCCACACGGCCTCGTCTAAGACACCGCCTGGCGCGCATTGGACCTGCGTGGGGGGGGGTGGGGGTGGGGGGAAAACACGCTAAGCGCACTGCCCATATGCTCCAATGCCCTCTGTCCCACTCCGCGAGGACAGTCATCCCAAAACATCCCAAATGGACCACAGACCAAATCCAACCAAACCCAACCCAACACAAACCAATCCCAGCGAGCCGCACACTCACCAACCGTGCAACAATGACAATGTGGCCCTTGTCCCTCCCTGCCGGCAGCAGCTCAGGCGCACATCAAAGTGCGTACCACACTGGTCATGCAACCATCTGCGAGAGAGTTAGTCAGAGTACGGAAGAGCACAAGACTACTTTCGCTCACCGTGCAACAATGACAATGTCCCCCTCGCCCTCGTCCCGCTCGTCCACCGCTGCTCGGATGCGCATCACTGCCTCGTCCCGCCCCACCACCCTGCGCCCCGCCGTGTGCCCACACGCCTTGGGCCACGCCTGCGTCAAAGGGCCCAGGGGAGCACAAGGAGCGTTGGGCAGGGGAGGAACATGCAGCAGAGGAGGCATGACGACCGGGGGAGATTAGACGCGCATCACTGCCTCAACTCGCCCCACCAACCTGCGCCGCGCAGTGTGCCCGCACGCCTTGGGTCACGCCTGTGTCAAACAAGGGAGCAACATGCAGAGGGGGGTGCATGCAGCAGAGGACGCATGAGGACGGGGCGAGAGAGTAGAGATGGGTGGGGCTGTTGAACGACACACCACCACCATCCTGCGCTCTGTTGTGCGCGCGTGTGTGTGTGCGTGCGTGTGTGTGTGTGTGTGTGTGCGTGTGTGTGTGTGGGTGCGTGTGAGTGTGTGCGTGTGTGTGTGTGCGTGCGTGTGTGTGCGTGCGTGTGTGTGTGTGCGTGTGTGTGTGTGCGTGTGTGTGCGTGCGTGTGTGTGTGCGTGCGTGTGTGTGCGTGCGTGTGTGTGCGTGCGTGTGTGTGGGTGCGTGTGTGTCTGTACGTGCGTGTGTGCGTGTTTGTGCGTGTGTGCGTGTGTGTGCGTGCATGTGAGTGTGTGCGTGTGTGTGTGTGCGTGCGTGTGCGTGTGTGTGTGCTTGTGTGTGCGTGCGTGTGTGTGTGTGTGCGTGTGTGTGTGTGTGTGTGTGTGCGTGTCTGTGTGTGCGTGTCTGTGTGTGCGTGTCTGTGTGTGCGTGTGAGTGTGTGCGCGTGTGTGTGTGCGTATGTGTGCGTGTGTGTGTGCGTGTGTGCATGTGCGTGTGTGCATGTGCGTGTGTGCGTGTGTATGCGCGCGTGGGTGCGTGTGTGTGCGCGCGCGCGCGTGTGTGTGTGTGTTTGTGTGTGTGTGCGTGTGTGTGTGTGGGTGCGTGTGAGTGTGTGCGTGTGTGTGTGTGTGCGTGCGTGCGTGTGCGTGCGTGTGTGTGTGTGCGTGTGTGTGTGTGCGTGTGTGTGCGTGTGTGTGTGTGTGCGTGTGTGTGTGTGCGTGCGTGTGTGTGCGTGCATGTGTGTGGGTGCGTGTGTGTGTGTGCGTGTGTGTGTGTGCGTGTGTGTGTGTGCGTGTGAGTGTGTGCGCGCGTGTGTGCGTGCGTGTGCGTGTGTGTGTGCATGTGTGCATGTGCGTGTGTGCGTGTGTGCATGTGCGTGTGTGTGTGTGTGCGTGTGTGTGTGTGCGTGTGTGCATGTGCGTGTGTGCGTGTGTGCATGTGTGTGTGTGCGTGTGTGTGCGTGCGTGTGTGTGTGCGTGTGTGTGTGTGCGTGTGTGTGTGTGCGTGTGTGTGTGTGCGCGTGTGTGTGTGCGTGTGTGTGCGTTTGTGTGTGTGAGTGCGTGTGTGTGTGCGTGTGTGTGTGCGTGTGTGTGCGTGCGTGTGTGTGCGTGCGTGTGTGTGTGTGCGTGTGTGTGTGCGTGTGTGTGTGTGCATACAAACCTGCTAAAAGTACGGACGGATCAAACACATTCTAACACGCGGACCCACACACACACACACATATACCCCCCCTCCTATGCCCATCTCAAACACCCAATCCCCCCTCTCTCCCACCCCACCAGGTCCTCGATGACGATCTCTGCCATGCACGCCTGCCTTTACCTGCGCACTCACGGACTTGCCTTTGTACATGCATGTGCACACAACCCCCTCTCCACCTCCCCCTCCCCCCCTCCCTCTCTCCCCTCCACCCCCACCTGGTCCTCGATTATGATCCTGCCTGCCTGCACCGGCGCATTAACTGACTTGCCTTGATATGTGCATGTCCGTGCAAACACCCCCCCCCCCTCCCCTCCTCCCCCCCCCCCCCCCTTCCCTACTCCTCCTCCCTTGCCCTCTGCCACCTCCCCCCCTCCCCGCCATGCCCGCCTGCCGGCACCCGCGCACGGTGTTCCCACTGACTAGCCTTGGTACATGCATGTGCGCAGCCGCAAACCCCCTCCCCCCCCCCTCCCCTTTCCCGTCCCCCCCCCACCTGGTCCTCGATGATGATCCCCGCCATGCCCGCCTGCCGGTACCCGCGCACGGTGCGCCGCACGTTCACTGCATTGCCGTACCCCGTGTCGCCGTCGCCTATCACGGGGATGGAGCACGCCGACGCGATCAGCCGGCCCGCCTCCGCCATCTCGCCATAGGAGAGGAGCCCCGTGTCTGGCAGTCCTGCTCTTGTTGCTGAGACAGCGAAACCTGGCAAGACCAATGGAGGAGGGGAGGCGGGCGGGGGAGGGGGGAGAAGATGAGCCACCCCGCCTCCGCCATCTCACCATACGAGAGGACACCGGTATCAAGTTTTGAGGCGCCTCAAAACTGCCCCGCCTCCGCCATCTCACCGTACGAGAGGACACCGGTATCAGGCAGCCCTGCTCTTGTTGCTGAGACAGCGAAACCTGGTGTAGAGGAGGGAAAGTGGGGGGAGAGGGGGGATAGCGCACGCCGACGCGATCAGCCGCCCCGCCTCCGCCATCTCGCTGTACGAGAGGAGCCCCGTGTTTTGCAGGCCGGCTCGTGTGGCTGAAACAGCGAAGCCTGGTGTACAGGAGGGCAGGGGGAAGAAGAAAACGAAGGGGGAAGGGGGGGAGAGGGGGGGCGCGGCAAGCAGGGAGGGGATGGCGGAGGCAGGCAGACGCGATGAGCAGGTGGACATATGGTGGAGGAGCATGCCTATGGAAAGACATGGCCACTGTCTGGTGGGCTGCCATAGGAGAGTAGCCCCGTGTCCCATAGGAGAACGAGCAGGTCGTTCTCGTGGCCGACACAGTCACACAGCGAAGCCTGGGAAAGCCAACTTCGACTCACGAGTCACGGCTCAGCCCCTCACCCCATGACCCCCTCACTCCCTCACCCCCTCACCCCCTCACCCCCTCACCCCCTCACTCCCCAACTCTCACCGCTCATAAACGTCAGCTTGAAGCCGGCGGCCTCCGTCAGTCGCGCGCTCAGCCCGTCGTGGCAAGCCGGCGCGCATTTAATCCCCGGTGACGTCAGCAGCTCCCGGAGCACCGCCACCTTGCTGACATCAGCTTTCCTCTCGCTCGAGCCGCCGGCCGCTGCGACGGTGCGGCCTGACGACGCGACGCGACCGCCAGCGAGTAGCGGCCTGCAGGCTCTGAGCGGCTTTAAGTTCGAGGCGCTGTGGCTTAGCGACCCGCCAAGCAGCCCGTTATCGCGACGTGATGGAGCGCATTTCACGGCGGGAGACGAAGGAACAAGAGAGATGGCGCACACAAAAGCAGTCGCCATGGAAAGCGCCGGATGCGGGTGGACCAGCAAGACAGAGGTGGTGACTGACTGGAATAGAACAAATGTAACACGCCTTTCTTCCTATCCTGAATGTGACTGGAAGGATGTGAGCGGGGTACAATTGTGAGCGGGAATAGTGGATCCTCTCGTATCCTACCCTGACGATGCAGCACGGAATTCAATCCGCCTCCCACACCTCTTCCTTGATCATTCAATCGCATCCGCGTTACAAGACGGGACATGGTTGTGGAGGGACATTGCTTGGGCCTCAAGCAACAGACAGAACATGGGATAGGTCGGAGAAAATCTGGTCTTTGTTATATGAAACATCTACCTCTACCTATACTTGACATGCATGCTATTCCATTAGGTGGTCTCAAATATTTCTAATCAGACCCAAAACTGACTGTCAACTTACACATATGTTAGTATGTAGAAGTTATAGGCTAGATAGGTGTTTGTTCTTAAAGGTTACAACTCCAAACCTATACGTTGCTAGTTCTCTCTTGTTAATTCCATTCTAGTATTCAAACATGGTATCATGCGTAGGTTAGGTCCCCCCCACCCGCTTCCGCCCCGTGCCCTAGCCTACCACGCCTCACCGGCCCCTAGCGTGCCCGCCGTCCCCTCGCGCCGTAGCCGCCCCCTAGCGTGCCCGTTGGCCCCTCGCGCCCTAGCCGGCCCTTTGCCTCCTAGCCGGCCCCTTGCGCCCAGCCGGCCACTTCGCGACCAGCCGGCCCGCCCCTCGCGCCTAGCCAGCCCCTCGCGCCTTCGCTGGCCCTTCGCGCCCTAGCTGGCCCCTCGCGTCGTCGCCCGCCCCTAGCGCCCAGCCGGCCCCTCGCGCCTAACCGGCCCTCGCACCCTAGCTGGCCCCACACACCTCACCGGCCCCTCGCGCCTGACCGCCCCCTCGCGCCTGACCGGCCCCTCGCGCCCTAGCTGGCCCCTCGCGCCTAGCCGGCCCCTCGCGCCTAGTCGGCCCCTTGCACCCAGTCGGCCCCTATCACCTAGCCGGCCCCTACCGCCTAGCCGGCCCCCACCGCCTAGCCGGCCCCTACCACCTAGCCGGCCCCTCTCCTACGCACCTCAGGCCCCACGTGCCCTGCCGGCCCCTCTCCACATGCCGGCCCCTTGTGCGCCTCGACTCCTCGCGCGCCCTCCTCGGCATTCCTTTCGGTTCAGTTCCGGAGAGTCCTGCCGCCGTGCCGCCGAGTCCCTGTGCTACGGTGCCCCTGTGTCCCTTTGCCGTTGTGTCGCTGTGTCCCGGTGCCACTGTGGTTGAGCGATGGCGGACGCCATGCTCCGTCTGGACGCGGAGGGGCACGCGATCGACTTCGCCGCCTGGCTTGTCGATCTCCGCCGGCACCTGACAGGTCAGCGCCAGGATGGGCACTCCCTGGCTATGCATGTTGATGGCTTGCTTCCTCGCCCCTCCGCCCCTGATCCCCTCCCTCCTGACCCCACCACTGCTGAGAGTGAGGCCTTTGCTGCTGCTGCACTCCCTCGCGCTGTCTGGGATTCTCGCGACGCTGTAGCGCAGCTTGCCATTAGTCATGCGCTTCCCTTGTCTAAGCGTCCGCGTTTCACCACTGTCCCGAACGCCAAGGATTTCCTAGATGTTGTAGTTTACCGCTACTCCACGCCTGGCTCCGTCTCAGCTAGACGCTTGATCCTCCCCATGCTCTTCCCTGATCTCTCTGCTTTCCCCACTGTCGCTGATCTCGCCACTCACCTCCGTGCACTAGAGACTAGCTATCGCGCTGCTAGCACTCTTGCCCACCTGACTGCTTTCCCCCCGCCGTTCTGCGCTACCCTGTACCTTATTGTCGTGCGCCTTCCTGACCGCTTAGCCACTGCCCGCGACCACTTCCTTAGCCAGCGCCCTATTGACCTCACCCTGACTGCTTTTGTCGCTACCCTTTCTGAGATAGAGACTCGCCAGCGCACTATCGCCCATTCGAGCGGTGTCGCGGCAGCCCCAATCTTTCAGGGCTGTGCTCCCTCCCAGTGCACGTACGCTGGTGTTTCCGATGCGGTCGCTACTGCTGCTCTTATCGCTGAGACAGCAGCGGCAGCCTTCCCGTAGCAGCAGCGACAGCGTCGGGGCCGTCGCGGCCCCAAGGGAGGGCTTGGTGGTGGTGGCGGCGACAGCGGTTCTGACGAGGGGCTGCGGCAGGCATCCAGGAGCAGCAGCAGTCGCAGCAGTAGCAGCCGCCGCCGCAGCAGCCGCCGCCGCAGCAGCCGCAGCAACCACAGCCGCAGCAGCAGCAGCAGCAGCAGCCGTGGGCTCGCCTCCTGCCAGGGTGGCCAGGAGCCCCTGGCGGGGGTGGCCGAAGTGGCGGTCCTCGCAGCTAGGCGTTTACCAACGGCTTCGGTGCTGTGGGCTGCCAGTACCAGCTCCTGACCGGTCCCCTTTGTAGCACTGTGTGCCGCCGTCTACACCCGACCGCCCGCTGCTTCCGCCGCCTGGACGATCTTTTTTGTCGCTTCTTCGGCCTGGCCCCGGACCTCCCTGAGTGGCCCAGTCTGCTTCGCCACGGTATGCCTGTTTTTGACCTAGACATAGATCAACCTAGTTCTACCTTGCATTCTCTGTATGCTGACGCTTTTAGTGTGTCCGGATCTTATTACCCTGGGTTCTCTAGCTTAGGCATAGCACCTGTCTGTAGTACAGACTCCCCTGCTGCGTCATGCGTAGGACCGTTTGCTATGTCTAGCCTAGGCTCCACACTTGCTCCTCCTTCGTCTGCGGCTACTGCTTCACTGTCCTTCACACTTGACTTCGGCGCGTGTGCCTGCTTCTTCCGCAACCACGCCGCACTCACGCCGCTTGCCGCGCCTGCCGCTGTTGCCCTTGATGACCCTTCATCTGGTCTTGTTGTTGCTCGCAGCTACCCTACCCTCCCCTGTAAAACGATCCCCTCGAGCTCCCTTACAGGCCTCCACATCCCCTCGTTCTCCCGGAACTTAGTTGGTGTCGACTGTCTTCAGGACCTCGGCGTCACCATTACGTTCCCGGGTCACGAGCGGTACGCTGTCTGTACCAAGACTGCCTCAGGTTCCCCCCTTGCGACGTTCCCCCGGGACCCGGTGTCTGGCCTCTTTACGCTGGACACTGCTTCCCCCCGGGTCCTGCATCTACCCAAGTCGCCGCTGCGTGCTCGTGTCGGTCACTCACTCACCCGTCGCTTCTGTGGCACCACCGCCTAGGTCACCCCGAACTCCCGCGTCTGCGTCACATGTCCCAACACGGTCTCGTCCTAGGTCTCCCTGCATCGCTTCCTGCCCTCCCGCCCTTGCCTGTGATGCCGTGCACGCCGTGCATCGAGGGCCGGCTCCACCGTGCTCCTCACTCCTCCTCGCTTTGGCCTGCCACCGCACCCCTTCAAATCCTGCACCTGGACATCTGGGGCCCAGCCCCTGTCCCCGAACCACATCGCGAGCGCTACTTTCTAGTGCTCGTGGACGACTACACGTGCTGCACCACGGTGTTTCCCTTGGAGCGAAAGGCCGACGTGCCTGACATTCTCATCCCGCGGGTCGTGGTTGCCCGCCTTCACCGCGGTCTCCCTAAGTTGTGTCTCCGGTCCGACCGTGGCGGCGAGTTCGCCTCTGGTCGGCTTGGACAGTTCTGTCGTGCGGTAGGCATCACCCAGTTGTACTTTCTACCGGACTCCCTGCACTGAGCAACGCATCGGCTTGGTCATGGAGGTGGCTCGTACCTCCAGGATACATGCCGGTGAACCCCATTTTCTGTGGCCGTTTGCCGTTCGCTATGCCGCTCACCAGCTTAACCTCTGGCCGCACTCCCAGCGGCCACAGGTTTCGTCGACCCTTCTTTGGGTCGGTTTCCCTGGTGACGCGTTCGTGCTCCACGTCAAGGGCTGCATCGCTCACGTTCGTGCCTCTGGCACGGAAAAGCTCACTGCCCGCACTGTCCCCTGTGTCTTCCTCGGCTTCCCCCTTGACTCCTCTACCTGGCACTTTTACCGCCCGCCGTCTCATCGCTTCGTTCACTCCCGTCCTATTTCGATGATTCTGTCTCCTTTTACCACCGCTTTCCCCACCGAGTTCTCCCGGTTTCCTCTCCCTTGTTTTTGGTCCCCACTCCCCCGGTAGCCCTTGCTCACCTTCCTTCCCGTCCTACTCCGTCTGGTGTGTCGCACGTCACTCCCCTCCTGTCGGTTGTCCCGGTCGAGGAGTCGGCTTATTCCGATGGCCCAGCGGCGCAGTTCTTGCCATCCGTCTCTCCCCCGATGTCTCCTCCTCCGCCGTCGCAGCCTCTGCCGCCGCAGCAGCCGCCGCCGCCGCCGCCGCCGCCGTCGCAGCAGCAGCAGCCGTTCGTGGCGTTGAGGAGGGTGCTAGTCCTGAGGTTCCTGTCGGGGCTTGTCCCGGCGGGCTCGGGGGTGGCACCGGTGCTAGAGAGGGTTCTCGTTCTAGGGGTGCTCGAGTGGAGTGTTCAGGAGGTAGCCACGGTGCAGCTGGCGGTCCAGGTGTCGGCGTCGAGCAGCAGCTGCAGTAGTCGCCGCCGGTGTCCGCCCTTCGCTTGCTCGGGCCTTTCCTCCCCTGACCGCTCGCCTATGCCTCCCCCGTCGCCTCCTCCCCTTCCTGTCCACGGTCCTTTGTTTCCTCTACCGGACTCGTCACCGACTCGTTTCCCAACTCGTTCCCCTCCTGTTACTCCTCCTCTGTATCCTGACCCGACGGCTCCGTCTCACGTCTGGTCTCGCCGTCCTTCTCGTGCTCGTCCTGTCTCCCCGGTTCAGCATTCTCACCCTATGTTGCTTCGTTCTCACGCATCTCGTCCTCCACACCTGCCTTCGCCTCCTCCGTCGTCGCTCGCTATCGCGCCTCCCCCTCTGTCTGCCTACCTTCGTGCTGCTCGTCCTCTTGTTCCTCGAGCCCTTGCCTCCCTTGTTACCAACCCGTCTGTTCCTCTCTCACTGCTGTCGCTGACTTTGCCTCTACCCACTGCCTTGACTACGCCACTGCTTTGGTCTCTGAACCTGTCCGTCCTCCGTCCATCGGGGGTGCTCCCGCCCTTGGCAGTGACGTCCTAGAGGACAGGCAGTACGAGCTTGCTTTCATGTCAGAGGCTGCTCCCCATCTCAGCACCATACTGCTAGTCCCTGAGGGTGACCCTGACGCCTTCGACATCCCGACCCCTCGCACTTACGCTGAGGCGACCTCGGGACCCTGGGCCTCTTAGTGGATATCTGCAATGGAGCAGGAGATGGCATCTTCGAGATCCACCGGCACCTACGTCGACGCAGTTCCTCCACCTGGGGTGAACGTAGTCGATGGCCGCTGGCTCTTCAAGGTGAAGCGCCCCCCTGGAGAGCCGCCAGTGTTCAAGGCGCGCTACGTAGCTAGAGGCTTCAGTCAGCGAGAGGGGGTGGACTTTCGCCCCGATCCCGAACATGACTACTCTTTGGGCGCTGCTATACGTATCAGCACAGCGTGACTACGAGCTCCACTCCCTCGAATTCTCCACAAATTTTCTTCAAGGCAGCCTACACGAGCAAATCTACCTGCTCCGACCGTAGGGCTTCACTAGTACCTTCCCTCTTGGGACCCAGTGGCTCCTCCGACTCCGGCTCCTCCTGCAGATCTCCAGGGACAGAGCAGCGCGCACCATCACTCTCACACAGTCACACTTGGTGCGCCAGGTCCTTCAGAGGTTCGGTCTTCAGTTCTCCTCCGCACAGCCCACACCTTTGCCAGTAGATCAGAGGCTCTCTACTCCAATTCCTGAGGAGTCAGTAGAGCCCAGTGGTCCTTACGCAGAGCTGGTGGGTTGCCTCATGTACCTGATGGCTTGCACTCGTCCAGATCTTGCATACCCTCTCAGCATCCTAGCTCGCTTTGTGGCCACATGCAGACACCGAACACAGCACTCGTCGGCCGCTAAGAGGGTTTTGCGTTATCTAGCAAGTACATCGGGCATGGGTTTAGTGCTTGGAGGACGCAGGCCAGTGGTCCTTACTGGTCACACTGACACTTCTTGGGCAGATGATGCTGAGACCCTCAGGTCCTCCCAGGGCTACTGCTTTAGCCTTGGTTCATGGGCCATCTCGTGGAGGTCCACTCGCTCCTCGTCTGTTGCCCAGTCCAGCTGTGAGGCCGAGATCTACGCCAGTGCCATGGCGGTACAGGAGCTCCGCTGGCTGACCTTCTTGCTCGCCGACTAGCTATGCCCCAGTTTCGTACGCTGACAACAGGGCCATGATCCTCCTGTGTCAGGAGCCTCGACTCGAGGGCAGAGCGAAGCACATCCAGCTGTGGTACTTCCTCCTGCGCGAGCTACAGCAGCGTCGCCAGGCTCGCGTAGTACACTTGGCCTACGGTGCCAAGACAGCTGATATCTTGAGTAAGGCGCTTGCGCCTAGAGATCATCAGCGGCACTGTTTGCAGCTTGGTCTAGTTCCTGTAGACTCTCACTTGCTAGGACCTTGATTATGTACTTCTGTATATTTGTACCTTCCAGACTTGACTTGTGGCTTGTCTTCCAGTGGCCGGACTAGTAGTGCTGCCCTGGTTTGTTCTTGCCTTGTTTTTACTCTTGCTGACTGGTCTTCGGACCCCTGCCTCAGAGGTTGGACTAGTAGTGCCACCATGAGCTGCGTGTTTCTTGCTCAGCACTACCCCTTATCTAGCCTAGGGGTTATGTAGAAGTTATACGCTAGATAGGTGTTTGTTCTTAGAGGGTACAACCCCAACCCTATACCTTGCTTGTTCTATCTTGTTAATTCCATTCTAGTATTCTAACACAGATTGTGGTGGGGAAAAATCAATCTCTACTTACTCTGAGGATAGTAAAGCCAGGTACACAAATACAAGTTCCAAGATAAAAATACAGTGGCGGAAACAATTGTCTGTATGTTTTGCATAAATTTGGGTTTTTATGCTTTAAAACCACAATACATTAAGCCTTAATGTTTAATGGTGGTACGATTTGGGAGGGGCAGTGGATGTGTTCATAGCTCAAATATCTAGAACAGTACATTGGATCTAACTCATATCCCAAAAGATATACAAAGGGTACATCCGGACAAATATTTCCAAGCAGAGAGAGCAAACTTCATAATTGCGTATTTGGTACATAGCCCACCGACCTTTGGCCTCGATCACCACCCGCACCCTCCTAGGCATATTACCTACGAGGTTAGTACAAAACTCGGCAGGGAACTTCTTGCACTCTTCCTGGACCCACCATTTAACATAAGGGGTTGAGCACTAGGAAAATCGCGAAAAAAGTTGGGCGTAGGCTAGAGTATTGTGGACGAATTTGGATTGAATGGTATCTTTGAGACTAGTCATGCTGAGGTGTGGCCAAAGATCCAATTAGCCGGTCAGGCCCGTCTTATCACGGATCGTCTTGATCGTACCATTGTAGGGTAAAATCACAAATAGAGCGGCCAAATCTAGCGTAGACACCACGAAACTGAGGGTAACGTTGCACGGTTGAGTGTGCACCCTTGCACCATTAAAAACACACTAGGGTCTGCGGGTCTAGTCATGGTGCACCAGTAATAGAAGCCAAGACTGTTCTGGAAAATAGTAAGGGGCCGGCTGCAATTCGTGGAGTCGCATGCTGAGTGGACAATTAGTTTTCAAAAGCATGTGATCTGGTCAAATGGGACCAACATCAACTGCTTCAGCTCCAATCCGCGCGTTTGCCTGGATTCGTGAAGGCACAACCCTGCAACACCACCAAATCAAACAGACGGTAAACCATGGGGACAAGGATCGGTGATGGTGTGGGGATGTGTGACATGTGCGGGGTTGGGGTTCATACGCAAGATTGACGGACGCATGGAGAGGCCCCTGTATGAGGGCATTTTGCATGACGAACTCGAATTGAACCTCCATTTCTATAGGATTTTCCCCTCTGAGGTAATCTCGGTGCGGACAATATCCCCAAGAATTTGTTATGCCTAGTGCATGAATGACTTGGAGAACATGAGTATGTAGCCCTGGAGTGGCCTTCTTTCTCACCAAACCTCAACCTCTGGGCTTACCTGAAAAGGGAGTTGGCCAAGCAGAAAAGGCCTTCCTCTGGAATGCTAGAGCTTTAAGAGTTGGTCTAGGAAGAATGGGAGAAGATCCATGCCGAGGTTTGCTCTAGCCTCATCGACACGCCTAGGAGGGTGCGGGTGGTGATCAAGGCCAAAGGTCGGTGGGCTAGGAACTAGAAACACACTTTTGAAGTTTGCCCTCTCTGCTTGGACCTATTTGTCCGGATGTACCCTTTGTGTATCTTTTGGGATATTAGTTAGATCCAATAAACTATTCTGGATATTTGTGCTATGAACACATCCACTATGTGCCCCTCCCAAATCGTACCACCATTAAACATTAAGGCTTAATGTATAGTGGTCTTAAAACCTAAAAACCCAAATTTATGCAAAACATACGGACAATTGTTTCCGCCACTGTATTAACATCCAAGATTAAAATAGGTACATCCAACAGTATAATCTGATAGCCCAAAACAATGACCAACCACAAGTACTCCCAAATCTCCATCCCACTACAGTACGTCAAACAGTAGCTGATAATCCCCTTTCCTTATCGAGCCTCGCTAACATCGAGTACAGCCCTGACTTTCGGAAGTCCAGGCTCGGCCCGACAATTCATATTCGAGACCCCAAGCCTGCACGCGGCGTCGCGTCCGACACTTCCGAGTCCCGAGGCGCCCCGAACCACCTCGCGCGTGTTTTGTGGCCTTCCTCGAGGCTCTCTTGCTAGGCTAGATGTGCTTGTATTTAGCCCTGTGCTTCATTTGTAATCACGACCTCACTAATGCATTACTTTACTCCTATCCGAAAATTATAATAACAGCTGGTATCAGAGCTACGTTCCTGCCCATTTAGGCTTCCGTAGTGAGGTAGTTTTTAGAGGGACCTCACACGTTAGGAGACAGGAGCTGTCCAGCTGTCCTGCCGGAACTTCTTCAGTTTGCTGACTTTGTCGTATGCGCTCCACGTCTCTAACGCTGCATATGCTTGTAGTGCCTTTAGTGGCGTTAGCTAGTTAGGGTAATTCGTGAACAATAGCCCTACTCGCCGTAGTACTAGAAATATGACTCCCGAGCAAACAGCTGAGTTGTCAGAGGCGGCAGCAAGCGCATCCTTACTGATGACGAAGGTTCGTGAAATGATGGCGAAGATGGAGGTCACGACCCTCGAGCTCGCTGCGTTGAAAGAAGAGAATGCAAGCCTTCGCCAGACGCGTGGTGGGACGCGTCCGGAGTCGCCCGTTACCGTGGACGAAGATCATGCGAGCGCGCATCAACCGCAGGCGACGTCAGCGACATGTGATGACAGTTCGAGCGAACGACGGGCAGTTTTGAAGATAAAACATGCCGTGCCGTTCAACCCCTTGGAGAAACACACCATGCTGAGTGGGTGGCTGTTCGCCATGGAACTGTTCTCCAATGCCGCCGACGTCAACAACGATGAGACATGCGTCAAGTTGGTGGTGTCTTTATTACTCGCACCTGCATTCAGTTGGTGGCGACAGTACGTGATGTCATGAGGGACTCCGACAGACCGGCAATAGGCGATGGACGGTTAGCGACGATTGGCTTCAACTCCTACAGAATCCGTGTTTGGTGTATCGGAGATCCTTACCTGTCAATAGTGGGGTGCATTGCTTCGCCGGCGTTTCGAGCATATATCCGCATGCGAAAACGCTCGTGTGAAGTTGCACGGATGGTGTCAACCAGGTTTTGTGCTGGAGTACACGTCATCTTTCCTCGCCATCTGCGATGAAATCGACACGAGACGGAGAAGACAAGTCGATACATCCTATGGCTGAAACCGGAGGTCCAGCGTGAAATTCGCATGTGCCGCCCGTCGACGTTCATGGAGGTGCAGCAGGTTGCAGAGGCGTGGGACGATAACCGTGTATGGCCGTGGACGAATTTCCTGGAGGGAAGTCGTTTTCGCGGGCAGAACAGTTACCCATCCATCAACGCCGTGCCGGCACTGTCTGATAACAGATTTTCTGGCATATGTTATAAATGTGGCCAGCCGGGGTACTATACATCATGCGGGAATGTCCCGAGTTGCAGAAGTCAGGAGCTAACGACAGAAGGAAGCTGGGAAATGGACACCATTAGAAGCAATCCGCCCCCCTACTGATGAGGCTTCGTCGCCCGAATATCACAATTCCCACCGAGTCGTAGTGCCTACGATCGACCACACTCGGTTAAAGGGGAGTGAACTTGTTGAATGCCTTGTGCTGGTGGAATGGCATGTTAGCAACACCATATTAAAAATATTTGTGGACGGTGAAGCATGACACTGTCTGTTCGATGTGAGCAGAGCGAAGAAACTGCAACTTCAAATGGAGAGGTGCATGCCCGAGATTGACGCGAGGTTGGTCGACAGTACGCCACATGGGAGCGGCTAAAACACATTCGCTTTGATTGTGACAGCCAAATCAGTTTCGCCATGAAGATGCTGGCGACAACGCTGGACGGTTGCGATGTGCTCGTGGGGCGCGATTGGCTTCCCACGTACAATCGAAGCATCGATTGAAGGAATGGCGACTTTCGTTTGAAGTAGGGTGGCGAGTGGTGACGACTGCCGAAGTGGAAACCACCCGACCCTCAGTCGACACTCGTGAACAAAGTGACTATCAAGCATGTAATGACAAGTGGCGTGGACGTTTACGCCGTCCGATGGATCGCATCAACGGAATCGGCTGAACAGACTGACGTGGAGAAGCAGTGTAGTGCTGTACCTGAGGACCTGGCGAAGATCATGCGCAAGTAAGATCAGATTTTTCCAAAGGACCTACCGCCCGGCCTGCCACCTGAACGACCACACGATCACAAAATTGAGTTGGAACCTGGCGCGCAACCGATTGTCCGATCGCAATGGAGGCTGAGTCAGCCGGAGCTGATGGAGTTGCGTACACAAGTGGATTATTTCATGGAGAAAAAAATTATATGCCCATCCACGTTACCCTACGCCACGCCAATTATCTTCACCCCAAAGAAGGACGGAGGCCTACGGATGTGTACCAATTATCGAGCGCTCAACAACATCACCATCAAGTCCCGTTACCTGATTCCGCGAGCCGACGATCTCATCGACCAACTTCGCGGGGCCAGGATTTTTTCCAAGATCGATCTATGTGAAGGTTACCACCAGATTCGTGTCGCCGATGTGATATTCTGAAGACTGCTTTTTGCATCCATCATGGAAGTTACGAGCATACCGTGATGCCATTTGGGCCGACAAACGCACCCTCAACTTTTCAACTCACCATGAATGAAGTCTTCCGCTCGCTACTAGACAAGTGCGTTATCGTCTACCTGGATGACATCCTGGTGTACAGCACCTCGCGGGGACAATATTTGACGCAACAGGAAGCAGTGAATACCCTGTGCGATCAACACTCACTCATCACCAAGGGCTCTAGGTGCGAGTTCTTAAAAGAGGAGTTGGATTTTTTGGGCCACGTCATCTCAACCGAAGACGTTAAAATTGAACCGAAAAAGATCGACACTATTCGCAACTGGGAGCCGCCTACGAACATCAAGGATTTGCAGAGTGTTATGGGGTTCGTCAACTACGTGCGCCGCTTTATACAGTAACTAAAATGGCGGAGTCAACAGCCCCCTTAACCAACTTGCTGCAGAAGGGAGTTTTTTATGAGTGGGGGGAGAGGTACCAAGCTGCGTTTGACCAACTGAAAACTTTCCTCATGACACCACCCGTTCTTCGTATCGACGATCTTGACCGCCCATACGAACTGGTTACGCACGCCAGTGACATCATTGTTGGCGCGGTACTGCTACAGGACTTTGGCGAAGGCCTGCAGCCAATCGCCTACGACTCGCAGAAACTCCAAGGCGCTGAACGCAATTACCCGATTCACGACAAGGAAATGCTCGCGATTGTCAATGCTTTCAAGACCTGGTGCTGCTACCTATCCGGTGCCGACGTTACTGTCCGAACAGACCACAAGTCCCGACAGTTCCTCCGAGCCCAACTGACCCTTAATCCACGACAGATTTGTTGGCTCGAATATCTTGAGTCCAACTTCCACTATCTTATCACCTACAAGAAGGGGGAAAATAATATTGTCGATGCCCTTTCCCGCCCTACTGCCCATACAGCCGCTGTACTAATCGCCCAAACTAATATGCTGCTAACTGGATTGTTTACCCACGGCTACAATACGGATCCTCTCTTCACCTCTAACGACCACCAGGCCCAGACCACTCAATGAGGCCACTACCACCTAAAAGTTGAAACTGACCAAATTTGGGTTCCATCCTCCCGACTGTTACAGGAATTACTGATATAGGAGGTTCATGACGCTAATTGCTCGGGGCAATTTGGGCTTGAAAATGCTCCAACTTCATTATTACTGGCCGAATGCAAGCCACGACGTGCAGCAATATGTGGCCTCATATCCCAAATTATGAAATCCTCTTGCTAAAAGCCAGCTGGATTACTGCAACCGTTAGAGCCGCCCACCAAGCCCTGGACACACGTGTTCATGGACTTCGTGATAGGACTGCCGGCCGGCGCATCCCAAAATGATGCTGTACTCGTGGTCGTTGACCGACTCACGAAAATGGCTCATTTTGCACTATGCCGAACGACGATCACAGCCGGGCGAACTGACAAGCTATTCATCTCAACTGTCGTTCCCCTGCACGGAATCCCGAAGGCGATCGTGAGCGATCGTGACCCCTGATTCATGTCCAGCTTCTGGACAAAAATGTGGGATCAGTACGGTACCGATCTCCATCTGTCCACGGCTTACCACCCAGAGACCGAAGGTCAGACTGAACGGACAAATTAGACCATGTAGCAGCTGATACGGACAACTTGTACCGACCCGACCCAATGGGAAGATTCTCTTCCTCTGATTGAGTTCGCGTATAACAATGCCCTTTCGTCAACGACTACCCAATCACCATTCTACTTGAATTACAGTCTAAACCCCACGGCTCCGACTACACCATTAGTTGAGAGCCTGCAACACGATCGCAACAGCTCGTCAAGGGTTTCTGACTGCACAAAAAAAGCTACTGAGGCCATTTCAGAAGCCAACCTTACGGCCAAACGGTACGCGGACACGCATTGATGGGATTAACCCTTGTCTCCTGGGTAACTAATCCTTCTGGACACCAAGAATTTGGGGTTGAGTTTACTGCTAGAATACAAGAATGACTAGAAGCAAGTGAGAACAAGGGAGATATAGGCTTGGTGTTGTACCCTCTAACAACATACACCTATCTAGCCTATAACTTCTACATACAAACATATGTATAAGTTGAAACACCCCCTAGGCTAGATAAGGGGTAGTGCTGAGCAAGAAGCACGCAGCTCAGAGCGGCACTACTAGTCCAACCTCTAAGGAAGGGGTCCGAAGACCAGTCAGCAAGAGTATAAAAGAAGACAAGAGGAAACCAGGGCGGCACTACTAGTCCGGCCACTGGAAGAGAAGCCACAAGGCAAGTCTGGAAGGTAAAAATATAGAGGAGTACACAATCAAGGTCCTAGCAAGTGAGAGTCTAAAGGAACTAGACCAAGCTGTACACAGTGCTGCTGATGATCTTTAGGCGCAAGCGCCTTAGTAAATATATCAGCTCTGTTGGCACTGGAGGCCAGGTGTACTACGCGAGCCTGACCGCGCTACTGTAGCTCGTGCAAGATGCAGTACCGCAGCTGGATGTGCTTCGCTCTGCCCTCAAGTCGAGGCTCCTGACACAGGAGGATCATGACCCTGTTGTCAGTGTACAGAACCGGGGTAGAGCTAGGCCGCTCACCTGAGTCGGCCACCAAGAAGGTCAGCCAGCGGAGCTCCTGTGCCGCCATGGCACCAACGTAGATCTCAGCCTCACAGCTGGACTGGAAAATAGACAAGGAACGAGTGGACCTCCACGAGGTGGCACCCGAACCAAGGCTAAAGCAGTAGCCCTGGGAGGACCTGAGGGACTCAGCGTCGTCTGCCGAAGAAGCGTCAATGTGCCCAATAAGGACCACTGGCCTGCGTCCTCCAAGCACTAGCCCCATGCCCGATGTACTTGCTAGATAACGCAAAACCCTCTTAGCGAACGACCAGTGCTTTGGTCGGTGTCTGACTGTGGCCACAAAGCGAGCCAACATGCTTAGAGGGTGGGTGAGATCTGGAGGAGTGCAAGTCATCAAGTACATGAGGCAACCCACCATCTCTGTTTAAGGACCACTGGGCTCTACTGACTCCTCAGGAACTGGAGCAGAGAGCCTGTGGTCTACTGGCAGTGGTGTGGGCTGTGCGGAGGAGAACTGAAGTCCGAACCTCTGAAGGACCTGGCGCACCACGTGTGACTGTGTGAGAGTGATGGTGGTGATGCTTTGTCCCTGGAGATCTGCAAGCAAGGGTAGTGGCGCAGCTTTCCTAGGTCAGTGCAGGTGTGTCTCTTCAGCAGCTCCACCTTCACGGAGGCCAGAGCGTCTTTGTCTGCAATAGCGAAGACCAGGTCGTCTACGTAGATAAGGATATAGAACGGAGTCTGGCCAGCACGAATGAAGAGCGAAGGGTCTGCTGAGGATGGAACTGCAGGTTGTGCCACTCACAGGGCGCCTGTTGGAGGCCATAGACTAGGCGCCGGAGGAGCCACTGGGTCCCAGGTGGGAAGGTACTAGTGAAGCCCTTAGGACGGCGCAAGTAGACCTGCTCATGTAGGCTGCCCTGAAGAAAAGCAGTGGAGAAGTCGAGAGAGTGGAGCTCGTTGTCACGCTGTGCTGCTACATGTAGCAGCGCCCGAAGTGTAGTCATCTTCAGGTCGGGGCGAAGGTCTGAAAGAAGTCCATCCCCTCTCGCTCACTGAAGCCTCTAGCCATGTAGCGCGCCTTGAACACAGGCGGCTCTCCAGGGGGGCGCTTCATCTTGAAGAGCCACCGGCCATCGACTACGTTCACCCTAGGTGGGGGAACTGCATCGACGTAGGTGCAGGTGGATCTCCAAGATGCCATCTCCTGCTCCATGGCAGCTATCCAATAAGAGGCCCAGGGTCCCGAGGTCACCTCTGTGTAAGTGCGAGGGGTCGGGATGTCAAAGGCGCCTGGGTCACCCCAAGGGACAAGCAGCATGGAACAAAGATGGGGAGCAGCTCGTACTGCCTATCCTCGAGGACGCCAGTGCCAAGGGCAGGGGCACCCCCGACGGACGGAGGACAGACAGGGTCCGAGACCAGAGCGGTGGCGTAGTCAAGGTGGCGGGTAGAGGCGAAGTCAGCAACAGCAGTGACGAGAGCGTCAAGACTCGAGACAAGAACTGGCGGGTCGGTAACGAGGGAGGAAAGGACGCGATGAACAAGAGGACGAGCAGCACGAAGGTAGTCAGGTAGAGTGGGAGGCGCGATAGCGAGCGAGGACGGAGGAGGCGACGGCAGGAGGGGAGGACGAGACGCATGAGAACAAAGCAACATAGGGTGAGAACGCCGAGTAGGAGAGACAGGACGAGCATGAGAGGGACGGCGAGGCCAGACGCGAGACGGAGGCGACTGGTCTGGAGACAGAGGAGGATAAACTAAGGGGGAACGGGGTAGGAAACTGGCCGGGGATGAGTCTGACGGAGGAAACACAGGACCGTGGATAGGAAGGGGAGGAGGCGGCAGGGGAGGCGCAGGAGAGCAATTAGGGGAGGGAAGGCCGAGCAGGCGAAGGGCGGAGACCGGCGGCGACTGCTGCTGCTGCTGCTCGACGCCGACACCTGCACCGCCAGCTGCACCACGGCTACCTCCGGAACACTCCACTCCAGCACCCCCAGAACGAGCATCCCCAGAGCGAGAACCCTCTCTAGCACCAGCACCACCCCCGAGCCCGCTTGGACAAGCCACGACAGGGACCCCACGACTAGCACCCTCCTCAACGCCAGCACCCCCGGAGTCCACGAACGGCTATTGCTGCTGCGACGGCAGCGACTGCTGCTGCTGCGGCGGCGGCGGCGACGACGGTTGCGGCGGCGACTGTGATGGTGGGGTTGGGGACACCGGGGGAGAGGCAGGCGGCGAGAACTGCACCGCGGGACCGCCAGAGTCCGCCGACTCCTCGACCGGGACATCCGACGGGAGGGGAGTGACGTGAGACACACCAGACGGAGCAGGATGGGGGGGGGAGGGGAGCAGGGGCTACCGGGGAAGTGGGAACCAGAAACAGAGGTGGGGGATCCGGGAGATCTCGGTGAGGAAAGCGACGGTAAAAGGAGAGAGACTCGTCGAAAGTGACATCACGCGAGTGAAGGAAGCGATGAGGCGGTGGGTGGTAAAAGTGCCAGTCAGACGAGTCAAGGGGGAAATCGAGGAAGACACACGGGACAGTGCGGGCAGTGAGCTTGTCTGTGCCAGAGACATGAACGTCAGCAAGGCATCCCCGGACGCGGATTGGAGACGCGTCACCAGGAGACCCGGTCCAGAGGAGGGTTGGTGAAAGCTGCGGCCGCTGGGAGTGGGGCCAAAGGTTTAGCTGGTGATTGGCGTAGCGAACAGCGAACGGCCACAGCAAATGGGGTGCACCGGCATGGATCATGGAGGTACGAGCCACCTCCATGACCAAGCCGATGCGTCGCTCAGGGACTCCATTCTGCTGTGGGGAGTCCGCCAGGGTGTACGACTGGGTGATGCCCTCCGTACGATAGAACCGGCCAAGCCGACCGGAGGCAAACTCGCCACCACGGTCGGAGTGGAGACACAAAACATGGAGACCACGGCGGACTCGCGAAGCTACGACCCACGGGATCAGAACGTCAGGCACGACGACTTTCCGGTCCAGAGGAACACCATGGTGTAGCGCGTGGAGTCCTCGACAAGCACCAGGAAGTAGCGCTCGGGGACGGGGGCTGGACCCCAGACGTCTAGGTGCAGGGTCTGGAGTGGCGTGGTGGCAGGGCAAAGCGAGGAGGAGTGAGGAGCACAGCGCAGCCGGCCCTCGACGCAGGGCATGCACGGCGGCTCAGTCGAGGGAGGTAGGGAAGGGAGCGACGCAGGAAGACCTAGGACAAGACCGTGCTAGGACATGTGACGCAGACGCGGGAGTGCAGGGTGACCTAGGCGGTGGGGCCACAGCAACGACGGGTAAGTGAGCGACTTACACGAGCAAGCCGCAGCTACGTGGGGGGACGCCCTCATTGGTGGGGACGTAGTGTCAAGCGTAAACAGGCCGGACACAGGGTCCTTGGGGGAACGTCGCAAGGGGGGCACCTGAGGCGGTCTCGATACAGACAGCGTACCGCTCGTGTCCAGGGAACGTGGTGGTG